TCATCAGATTTCTTAGTAACGATCTATGCGTCATTTCGGTACAGTCAGTCAGTCAACTGAGCTTTGCCATTTGGTCTCCTCCAATGTCAACAAAAACTTGTATCCTTCTCTGTACTTAACTGAGAAAGTGTAATCCCAAATATAACATATGATACATTTGACCACTTTCTAAATGGCATTGTGTATTCATTCCTTGAAGGTAGCGGTATAGAAAGTAGCACTTACCTTAGTACACGGCGTTTCATCAAGAATACTTTGGTGGCTAGAAAATCCTCCTTGTAGGTGCCGCTGACTGGTCAAGGAAAACTTGCGACAAGACTGAAGTCTTGAGCATGACATCATGTGTGTGTATACGTTTGCTGAGATGGAATGAAAAAGTTTCCAACCTTGGAGAATATAAGATGCTTTGTGTCAAAATGACCATAATGTTTTGATGGTCGGTCACATATTGAGAGGTACCAGGTGTTATATTGTATGGGCCTTAAAGTATGAAGAATGTTGGAATTATTTCTTTGAGAGCCATAGCAAATAGATATTGATTGTGCAGGCGGACAACAATGTAGTGGAGTTGATTAGTTGAGTTTCACAATTTGAGAATGCATCATTTCCCTTTTGTTAAGAAAGGGTCAAATGTCTGGTCTATTGTGTTCTCAAAGTGTTTAGTTGTAGGACGCTTTTATTCACAGTTTATTTTCTTTTGATAAGCAGCCACAATAATGTCTCTTCACGCCTTGAGCATGCAGTACACCCGAATAGAGTTCAGTTTCTAAAGGTGTACCACCTGTTTCATTGCTGACAATTGCTGAAATATTGCTAAAAGCAGCATAAAACTCAACTCACTCACTCACTCATAACTGACACATCACATCTAGTGGAACTCCCAGGATAGACTTAGCTCTGTACAACTCATGATGTTTCTTACATGCGACAAAAGGGATTGTATGGTCAGACTCCATGACACATGGCATGTTATCGTACCCGCGTTGACGATCGTTCACAATATAAATCACTGGTTTGTCTGGTCCAGACTCAATCATTCACACGCCACTGTCACATGGCTGGAATTTTGCTGACTGTGCAGTTAAACAACAAAGACAAACGTGTGTTGTAAGAAGCAGTGGATGTTTTGTTTATGTTCATTGGATGTCTAGATATGTTTGTTTATCTGCCATCTAGACATGGTAGGGATACACCACTCACTCACTCACTCACTCACTCACTCACTCACTCACTCACTCACTCACTCACTCACTCACTCACTCACTCACTCACTCACTCACTCACACACTTACTCAGGGGCGGTGGAGTAGCCTAGTGGTTAAGCACTTGCTCGTCAAGCCAAGAACCTGGGTTCAATTCCCCACATGGATACAATGTGTAAAACCTATTTCTGGTGTCGCTCGCCATGATATTGCTGGAATATTGCTAAAAGCGGTTTAAAACTAAACTGAACTCCATCCGTCCGTCCATTCATCCCCTTCAGAAATGGCAAAGAAACTCCAATCATTATTATCATCCCAAAGTGTCAAATCAGAATATCTAGATAAACAGCTAAGTAATTAGTGCCTTTGTTTCAAGCTGATTATTACTAGTTTTATATCTATATCTGTGATACTCTAGTTATTTTACTGTCCTTCGTTGGCAGAATTTTATAATTTCACTTCAATTGTTGATATATTTAGAACTTGCTTTAGTCACGATATGGCTGAAATATTGCCGATGTGACTTAAAATCTTAACTCACTCACTCAAGCTGAGCAACAGAAACAATTGAAAACCTACATACAAGCTGTCAACACTCTTGCACATGTTGCAGTCACCATGGTAACCATTGTAGACAAGCTTCAAGGAGCATGATTCATATATTCATACATTCCCGAATATTGTACATTGAGGAAGTAGATGTGATGCTTTTTTCATCCTGGTATGCAAACAATAGTGCAGCCTCAAATAGTCTGCTGGTTACATGTATGCTGTAATACTTCCTTAATATTATATGCTTTCAAAACTAAAAAAGTCTCCTTGAAATCAAACCTTAGTACTCACAAATACTAAACAAGGATCTTAAGATATCTTATGACCTGTTGTGAGCTTTGACCATACAATGTAATGAAAAAAGTTGACATTAGCCTGTTAGAATGCATCAATTATGCAATGACACCATATTAGGCAAGTCGCAAAAATATCATGATGTAAAAACATCTGGTGGTCACCACTCGCGAAAATATCGTGACGCAAAAATTTTGTGATATACAGTAGACGATAATGAGTTGTACAGCTTGTACCTGTTGTTCAAAATACTGCTTGCTTGCCTTTTATTGTAGCATGATTAGAAAACAAATTCTAACCATTAATTTCATGATCTGGCAAGTGACACAGTTGTTGGTCTTTCCAAGCTTGTCCAGGGCCCCATTCCACAAAGCTATCGTAGCGCTGCGACTGTCGTACCTCCTAAACTGTAACATAGACTTATGACAGTAGTAGCACTACGATAGCTTTGTGAAACTGGGCCCTGCATGATAATGAGAAGCCCGAGTTGTACTAGGTCAGCCTATGAGACTAATGTGAATATATTCAGCACACATAGCTTGTGTCAAAATGCTAATCGCATTTTGAACAATCTTCTTCACTGAGGTAAATGTTCCTTGGCTGAGCAATTATATTCTTACATAACATTAAAAAACATCATTTATGCGATTTCGCTATTTACTACCTGCACTGGTGCATGTTAACAATGGCTGGTGCAGGTTACCTTCTGTAACAGGTTGTACTCGGTGCAGGTAACAATAAGTCCTCCAACATCTTATAGCTGTCATCGTGTGTTTTAATTGGGAAGTAGGCCACTGGAAGTAATATGTTTCTCTCCATATAACTTGTTAGAAGCAGAAACATTTATGTACTCATAAATCAGTTACGTTGCAGTAATTATATAAGTGAGATTTATAAATAAAGGTAAAGCAAAATTGAAACAGAATAATTCCTATTTATTATCAATGGGGTCAGGTTTTGTTGAATGTAACTGATACTGAGTAATTGTTATGAAAATTACTGAACAAGTATTATGTTACGTTCTAGAACCAGTGACATTATTTTGTGGTGCAACCAAATTTTGATGGTGCAGCCAAACCTATAAGCCAGGTTGCACTCGGTGCAAGTACTGAAGAAAACCTGAAATCACACCGTGTTTACATCCGCAAACATTACAGCTGTTTGTACAGCCAAAACACAGTTGTGTTGTTGCTATTGTCAATTCACCATTGTTGAAAATGGAAGGTTATCTCTCAATCTGATCATTTATCATATTTGACATGCTTAAGCGCGAGACTCAGTCTAATGCATTGTCTGTCCAGTAGAGGTGTAACGATACGATGAGGCCACGATGTGATGCATATCCTGTTGGTGTAGATGTATGACGATTTGTAGCCCGATGCAGTACTCTTATTTCATAAGTTCATGTTATCTCACTTTCTGTAGGTCAGTTACAACCAAATCCCTTTGTTTCTTAATCTTAGAAGATGGGATATTGATGGGAAGATACATACGCTTGTGGAAATATTATAATTCTGCTATTTAAAGCCAGCTTGAGTGCCAATCCATGAGGCGTTTCGTTAACGTTATGACATGCTGTTTACTATAGGCTACAGGTGGTGGGGTAGCCTAGTGGTTAATGCGTTCACTCGTCACACCAAAGATCCGTGTTCGATTCCCCACATGGGTACAATGTGTGAAGCCCATTTCTAGTGTCCCATGATATTGATGGATTATTGCTAAAAGCGTCGTAAAACTAAACTCATTCACTCAGTATTACAGTCCTAACAAATGTCGTACTGCTACGAATGCTTTTTGGATTGGGACCCATGACATATGATACTATACTCTGTTTGCAGTGAAAACGTACCGATGAATTTCAATTTAAATAAAAAAGTAAAACTAATAAAGTGAAATTAAGATTGCGAATCCTCATAATTTTACCTTTGTATTACAAGGGGGTATGCACATTAAATGAAACACAGAGAACAAGTAGGGTTGGTCTAAGTTAACGCTCATAACAAACCGCACGTGCATTTGTTTCACTGTTCCAACTACTGCTTTTACCCCCTTGTAATACAAACCAATAACAGGCATTTGAATGTATGATCGTATGTTAAACAACTTTTAAGATGAGTAAAATTCTGAGATTTCAATGTTCAGTTGGCAAGGTAAATTTATGAGGATTCGCAATCTTAATTTCACTCTATTTGATTTACTTTTTCGTTTAAAGTGAAATTCAACAGTACGTTTTCACTGCACACAGACACTAGAGAATCTGCATAAACATCTTCTTGAACAGTTTTTGTTATTATCTTTTTAATGTAATGTGTAAGTAAAAGGAGTCTTAAGGCAATGTATTGTATCGTGAGTCTCTTTTCTCGATATGGTACTTGTTGGTCCCTGCCTGGCTCTCGGCATTAATGGGTACAACAAGGACTGGACGGCTCGGAGTCAGTATAATGTGTCTGAGTGGGGTATTCCTGCTTCACTGCGGCATGGTATCTCAGTGGGCTGGCACTATAAAACCAGCTTCAGTCTGGGCTAGTACCAGCAGCCGCACTTACACATACACACACATGCACGTCGTCATATGAGCAAAATATTCTCAAGCACGACGTTAAACCCGATTTCACCCCACCTCACCTCACCTTTTCTCGATACCAGGCTGTATTGCTGTACTGTTTTGTACTTTATGATGTGGCACACCCTACACACACTTTTCTTTCCGCATCCGTCCGTGACTAATTTCACAGAAAATCAGATTTAAAAATATTTTGTAAACTCAGAGGGTGGTACTGAAGATGAAATGGCTAATCTACAAACATTCCCATCCATATCACATGACCAGATATAGCAACACTGACACACAATAGGGAAGGTGGTCATGTGTCACCTTAAATAACAGCCAGGATGCTAGTGACTGGAATACAATCAGCATCCAGTGCTATAACAAACGTCGTTTCATTTCAGATTCAAGAGCGGAGGGAAGAGCTACACTATGGGTCGTTCGAGGAGCCGTTCACGTAGTCGTGACAGACGACAGAGCTACAGTCGGAGTTATAGTCGCAGCCCCAGCCCCGATGACGGAGCACGAATACATGTAGCCGACCTCGGCATTGATCCTTCCAAGAATGAAATTGTTAGATCTTTTGAGAAGTATGGACGGATTGTCGACATGTGGTTGGCTCGCAACCCGCCTTGCTTTGCGTTTATAGTGTACAGGTACAGAGACCAGGCTGAGAAGGCCATTAAAGAGATGGACGGGAAGTAAGTAGACCAAAGCAGATTACTAAATCACAGTATTGTTGCGCTTTGAGCACCCACTTAGTGATTGGATTTAGCACTATATATATTTTTTATTATTATTATAGTTAATTCTAAATCCCATGTAAATGTACAACTATAGATGCCATATGTTCAACAAGCTGGTTACATTACTAAAGATTTATATCAGATGGAGACAAAATACTATAGAACGTGAATATGATGATGTGATTCAAAATAGACATTAACCTGAGCATTTTCTGCTTGTTATATGAGTGAGTGAGTGTGTTTAGTTTTACTCCGCACTCAGCAATATTCCAGCAATATGGCAGCGGTCTGTATATAATCGAGTCTGAACCAGACAATCCAGTGATCAACAGCATGAGCATCGATCTGCGCAAGTGGGAACGGATGACATGTGTCAACCAACCCGATCCCATTAGTCACCTCTTACAACAAGCATGGGTTACTGAAGATCAATATTCGAAACCGGACCTTCACAGGTCCTGCTTGTTATGTACATTTAGGACTAATTTGAAGTTAGAGGTTACTCGGAACCTGTTTATCCTGGCTAAATGTTTTCACGTCTAACTTGATATATAACTTTGTGTGCTGACGATTAGGTGCCTGCCTCGGAGGATGTGGGTTCGAATCCCGGATGGGATGAACCCAACAAAAGTACTGGAATCTGTACTTTACTAAGAAAGTGTAATCCCTAAATTAACAAATGTTATATTTGACCACTTTCTAAATGGCATTGTGTTATCATAACTTGATAATGTTGGGTCTGAAACAGATCCTTCCCGGATTCAGAGGAAGGATGTGCATTCTCGTCCCCCATTGTCAAGCATATCATGTTTACATGTAACTTTATCGTCTTGGGGCATGTCAACCTCGCTCCAGGGCTCTACTGAATGATAAGTCCATGGAAGTAAAGTAATTATGTCCTGGTAATTGGCACGTTCAGATAATTGGACAGTCCAGGATGCCAGTCTTTTAGAGGACAGCTTGTTTTTATTATTTAGGCCAGACCAATTTTATATCTTGTTTTACAGATTTTTGTCCTCAGAAACCTAAAGGCAGGATATTCCTTCTAAATACTAAAATTATTTTACTTTTGGCAATTTGTGATGTGTATATGGGGCAAAAAACAATTTAAAAAACATTTTCTTTTATGTTTACATTTTTGGCCAATAAAAACATTAGGATTTATTTTTTGAGCAGGGACTAAAAAAATTCTTCTTATTCTTGAAAAATTACGACCTGCGGATCCTTAAAACAAGAAATAAAATTGCTCTGGCCTTATGTAGTCAAGAAATTATTATTTAAACTGATGATTATTACCTTTATTAAAGACATAAGCAAGGAAGTGGGGAAGTGCTTTTCAATTATTCACCTTTCGGGTGGGTCACTGTTTAAACATAGGAATTGTAAGAGGCGATCAGGTGGTCAGGCTCGCTGACTTGGTTGACACATGTCATCGTATCCCAACTGCATAAATTGATGCTCATGCTGCTGATCACTGGATTGTTTGGTCCAGACTCAATTATTTACAGACCGCCGCCATATAGCTGGAATATTGCTGAGTGCGGCATTAACAACAAACTAACCAACCAATCACATCAATCTGTGCCTTGTCTGTTCCTGATTTATTTACAAGCTGTCATATAGAGGAATATTACTGAGTCCCAATTAAACAACAGAATACAAACATCCTATGCTGCCACAGATTTGTTTTTATGACTGAGTTTACAGATCCTCAAATCTAAACCTGAATTTTCTAGTCCAGACACAATTATTTTATATTCTGACATTGAATTTGCTGGAATATATACTTCCCATCAAAAGTTTAGACTCACTTAAAACACTCACTATATGTTATGTATATATATACGGTTACATCGAAGATTGATTTCTCCACTAACTTGGGGGAACCAACTGCAAACTTTATACAGATGAATTGTACAAGGATCATGCATCAAATTGCTGAAAAGCATGTGCAAATATCGTGCATGTGAACAGCTGCGTTTTGGTGTAAAGTTTTGTCAAGAATTCGCCAATTTTCACTGATTTTTTATCATTTACTGAACTCATGGCAATAATCTTTTCAACTTTACGAATTTGTTTTATAATACATCAGTACCTTTAAACAGTATGGAATATTTTGCAAAATTAAGTTTAGAACAGTTCCCTGAAGTAAGTGGCTATATTTACACTAGTGAGTCTAAACTTTTGATGGGAAGTATAGTTGAGCTTGGTTTTAACAAGAAACATGAACCTACTGCTGGGGCCTGTAAGCAGCTGCAACAGAGGTGGTGACTATCAGTGTATTGTATATTAAATGCATAAATGTCTAGTCCCAATTAAACGGATACAAAACGACTGTATCACAACCATTTTGGAGGGTGGTGGGGTAGCCTAGTGGTTAAAGCGTTTGCTTGTCGCACTGAGGGCCTGAGTTCGATTCTCCACATGGATACAATGTGTGTTTCTGGTGTCCCTCGCCATGATATTGCTGGAATATTGCTATAAGAGGCATTGAACTATACTCACTCACTCACTCTTCGTCCAGGGCTCTGTGTGGAGGAAGGGTCCGAGTGTCAATGGCACGTCCGAGGACACGAGGAAGGAGGCGGCGAGGATTTGACCCCAACTTGAGGTGCTACCAGTGTGGAGAGAAGGGCCACTTCTCTCGAGACTGTGGGGAAGTTTGGCGCAACCGCAGACGTGATCGCAGCAGGTGAGCTTTCATCCACCCTTGCCATCATTTGATGATGCGTGTGGTTTTCAGATGTAATATGGTACGTACATTTCTCAATGATGTGTAAGGAAAGGAATATAAATTGCAAGAAATACCTCTCCTAGAATAACGTTCTTTGCAAATTTTGAATAATTTTGTTTTGTGTCATGTCAGGATTGTCCATGCATTTCACAAAAAACTGATGACATTGCAATTCTTCAGCGGCAGAGTAAAACCCTGTCAGTCCTTTTCAAGTGTGCAAATATTCATCTTTAGTTCACTCCAATGCCATATAAAGACTTTTATGGAATCTCACTACCTATGTATTTATATTCCTTTCCTTTTTTCTGTTCTTGGGAAATTCTTTACATTTTGAGATGTCTTTAAAAATGTTTTGGTGTAGAACTTTTTTGGACTTTAAAGATTTACATGTGTATAGTTACTGCTTTTAGCTTGAGTGCACTTAAATCATCAGATTCTCGTAAATGTGATTAAGAACTCTCAATGCACTGAATCCAGTCACACTGTTGTACTTTTCAAAAACATCTCAATGATTAAGTTTTGTTTTAAAAGATCATATCAAGATTTATGTGTATTGTAATTGAGGCTTAAAATATTCATGCATAGTTTAGAATATATTTTGACTAATAAGTCTATATGAGTATTTATCAGGATTATTCAGTTTAAATATTTTATTGCCTAGCAACCAGTTCAGATGACATTATCTGCACTCTGTGTTGCTGTACAAGTGTTTTCCCTGATGTGTTGTACAATCTGTTGTATTTGTGTTGTATACACGAATTATGTATGATTAATTAATTATGTGTAATTATGAAAAGATCATTTGGTTGATACGTATCATACTTTCCAATATGTAAATACTCTTTTGCATAAATTTAACTGCCACTGATAAATGAATACACTTATTGATGAAAGTTGAATTTTTTAAATATTTTGCTTTTGTCTGTTTTGTATATTTTAACTCAGATATACAAATATAACACTTAAGTTTTATTATGTGTTTGTTATATATGTAACTACTACCAGAGATATACAAGAATAACACTTAAGTATTCTGTGTGTAAATGCAACTGAACTGTCATAAAAAGAAATATTAGGGAGGGAGGTGGGGTTTGACCTATAGTGAATAGAGGATGTTATGCATGTTAGGGGTTGGATGTTGGGTCTGTGATAAAATACCAATTAAACCAGTAGCTCTCACTTACTGTCATCTTGAGGGGGTGGGGCACCTAGAGGTTAGAGGGTTGGATGTTATACATGTTATGTACTGTCTGTGATAAAATACCAATTAAACCAGTAGCTCTCACTTACTGTCATCTTGAGGGGGTGGGGCACCTAGAGGTTAGAGGGTTGGATGTTATACATGTTATGTACTGTCTGTGATAAAATACCAATGGAACCAGTAGCTCTCACTTGTTGTATATCTTGGGAGGGATTCAGGGTGGGAATCCATGCCTAGTGGGTATAAGATTGTGTATTACACAGGGAGAACACTTGCACTTTGTATAGATGTTTTTATTTGTGTGTTAACTATGATATGTTGTCAATAATTATGTCCACATATCACATGTTGGTTATTACCTAGTGGTTGATTTGTTCCACTATTTTCCTTGGTCAGGTAGAATGGTTATGGTTTGAGGTCGGCATTGTAAAGGTGATGGGTGTTGTGGCAATCAGGTGTAAGATGGGGCCTCGTGATTGATTGTTCAGCAATCAATGGTGGACTTCCTTGGTGTGTGGGGATGTGAACCCCATGGAAATCATGTAATGGTGGACAGTAGAGAGATGATGATGACCTTGGTTGTGACCTTTGATGACCTTAAGAGTCAAGGTCAAGGTGACTGACCTAGGCAGTTTGTGAAATTCATCAGTGTAATTTGGTTGGTCTGGCTCAGCATGATTTTGAGGTCTGAAAGGTACGTATAAATTGCTGCCATGGCAACAGCTTGTTGCCATGGTTGCTGTTGTAACAATTTTAATACACCTATAATTTACACTTACATGAGTGACAGACTTGTCTCAGTGCAGTCCATATAACTCTTAATTCTCACTGAAAACTAAAATTGAAATAAAGCACACATTTGAAAGTAGAGCAAGCACAAAATAATTCATGTGTCATGCATTATATTTTCATGACGGAATTCATTCAGACATCATTGGACCATAATATATAATCCTACTCTATGTCACCATATCATTTTTTAAATCCACTCCCACATCACCAGGGGCGGTGGGGTAGCCTAGTGGTTAAAGCGTTCGCTCATCACGCGGAAGACCCGGTTCGATTCCCTACATGGTACAATGTGTGAAGCCCATTTCTGGTGTCCCCACTGCGATATTGCATGAATATCGCTAAAAGCAGTGTAAAACCATCCTCACTCATTCACTCATTCCCACATCACCATATCATGGAATAAAAAATCCAAAAAAATTTCTGCTATATGCTACAAAGGTATAAAGAAAATGCCAGTTAAGTTTTTATATTGATCAAATGAATTTTTTTGTGCTTTCTCCTGGATTAACACACAATCAAATTGGATAACACATATTTGTATGTGTGTGTGGTGTTGATATTGTACAGAAAAGCATTTATGATGCAATTTCACAGTCAGGGCCAAATTGACTAAAACATAGGCCCTAATCATGAATGATAATCAGACAACTCTGTTGGCACTCTGACTGCATGCAAACATCAAAAGTAGTTAGAAAATAATGTTTATTGGTCCTTAGTTGTTAACTGAAGATTAACCATCCAAGAAAAGTAAAACTGCACCATACAAATACTTTTTGCAGTAAATTGCACAATTGTGTAACATGTCTCTCGCTACAAATTGAATACTAAAGTTTTGTGGATGTGGATGAATTGAGTGCTTTATAGTCTGTAACTATGGTTACATGTACATGACACATTGTTTGTATTATTTGATTTTGTAGTCATCTTAAGAGTAATCGAGTTGTTGTGATTGATGATAATTATTATAGTACCATTACAGTAAAGATCCAACTTTCTGCTGAAGTATATTGTTTAATAATTACAATTTGAGAGAATATGTACTTGTTTTGTTCTTTATGATAAGGTCATTACCAAGGTTGTCATGGCAATGCTGCTTACAATGATACACACTTATATGACAATAATTAATTATAAAATGTAAGATATTTTTGTGTATTATCATTGCACAGCATGCCAAACATATCTTCACTCCATCAAGATACCTGTCTAAGTAAAAAAAAAAATGCTGTTTAAAACTGTTTCAGGAGTAGGTCAAGGTCAAGGTCACGTTCCCGATCCCGCGGTAGACGTGATCATCGACGCAGTCGTCGATCCTACAGCCGCAGTGAAAGCCGTTCCAAGAGTCGCAGTCGGTAGGCAAATATGATACGTTTGTCACAACTAACATGGTATGATATGCATGATGGGACGGAATGGGGCTTGGCATGATGGGACGGAATGGGGCTTGGCATGATGGGACGGAATGGGGCTTGGCATGATGGGACGGAATGGGGCTTGGCATGATGGGATGGAATGGGGCTTGGCATGATGGGACGGAATGGGGCTTGGCATGATGAATGGGGCTTGGCAGGACGGAATGGGGCTTGGCATGATGGGATGGAATGGGGCTTGGCATGATGGGACGGAATGGGGCTTGGCATGATGGGACGGAATGGGGCTTGGCAGGATGGGACGGAATGGGGCTTGGCATGATGGGACGGAATGGGGCTTGGCAGGATGGGGGGGCCGGAATGGGAGGCATGATGGGATGGAATGGGGCTTGGCATGATGGGACCGGAATGGGAGGCTTGGCTGGCATGATGGGGCCGGAATGGGGCTTGGCAGGATGGGATGGATGGGACTTGCAGGATGGGACAGAATGGGACTTGTCAGGATGGGACGGAATGGGACTTGGCATGATGGGATGGGGCTTGGCAGGATGGGACGGAATGGGACTTGTCAGGCTGGGATGGAATGGGACTTGTCATGATGGGACGGAATGGGGCTTGGCAGGCTGGGATGGATGGCAGGATGGGACGGAATGGGGCTTGGCAGGATGGGACAGAATGGGGCTTGGCAGGATGGGATGGAATGGGGCTTGTCATGATGGGACGGAATGGGGCTTGGCAGGATGGGACTTGGCAGGATGGGATAGAATGGGGCTTGGCAGGATGGGACAGAATGGGGCTTGGCAGGATGGGACGGAATGGATTGGCAGGATGGGATGGAATGGGACTTGGCATGGGGATGGAATGGGAGCTTGGCATGATGGGATGGAATGGGGCTTGGCATGATGGGACGGAATGGGACTTGGCATGATGGGACTGGGATGGGATGGGACCGGAATGGGGCTTAGCATGATGGACAGGAATGGGACTTGGCAGGATGGGACGGAATGGGACTTGGCAGGATGGAATGGGGCTTGGCATGATAGGGACAGAATGGGGCTTGGCAGGATGGGAGTGGAAGGAATAGGACTTGGCAGGATGGGACAGAATGGGACTTGGCAGGATGGGATGGGAATGGGGCTTGGCAGGATGGACGGACTGGGAGACTTGCCGCAGAGATGGGGAATGGGCAGGATGGGACAGAATGGGGCTTGGCAGGATGGGACGGAATAGGAGCTTGGCATGATGGAATGGATGGCAGGATGGGACGGAATGGGGCTTGGCATGATGGGACGGAATGGGACTTGGCAGGATGGGGCTTGAGGATAGGACTGGAATGGGACTTAGCAGGATGGGGCAGGAATGGGACTTGTCAGGATAGGAATTGAGAATAGGAGACTTGAATGGGACTTATAGAGGCAGGATGGGATGGAGAATTAGCAGGAATAGGAATAGGAGGCTTGTCATGATGGAGACGAGAATAGGACTTGGCTCATGATAGGGATGATGGAATAGGAGCTTAGCAGGATAGGATGGAATAGGAGGCTTAGCATGATAGGACGGAATGGGGCTTGGCATGATGGGGCGGAATGGGGCTTGGCAGGATGGACCGGATGGCATGATAGGATGGGATAGGAGCAGGATGATATGGAGGCGGGAATAGATGGATGGCAGGACAGAATGGACGGAATAGGGGCTGGCAGGATGATAGGATAAGGCTTAGCTGGAGATGGGAGGTATGACTTGTCCAGGAACAGGAATGGGAACTTGTCATGATAGGACAGGAATAGAGACAGGCTGGGATGGATAGGATGGAATAGGCTTGGCAGGATGGGAATGTCAGGATGGGATGGAATGGGGAGGCTAGGATGGGACAGAATGGGGCTTGGCAAGGATGGGATAATGGAAGCAGCATGGAGGGAATGACAGGATGGAGCCGGGAGGCTTGGACTAGGAATGGAATGGGACTTAACTTGTGAGATGGGATAGGAATGGGAGCTTAGCAGGATGGGCGGAATGGGACTTGTATCAGGGATGGGGCGGAATGAACTTGTCAGGATGGAGACCCGAGATAAGGACTTAGCAGGATAGGCCGAGAATGGGACTTGTCATGGATGGAATGGGAATAGGACTGTGTATCATGGGTAGAACCCGAATAGGATGGAATAGGACTTGATGATGGACAGATGGGAGCTTAGGAATGGGGCCGAGAATGGATTGGATGGAATAGGGACGGAATAGGACTAGGGATGGGGCGGAATGGATGATGATGGACGGAATAGGACCTGTCATGAGAGACGGAATGGAGCTTAGCAGGATGGGATGAATGGACTTAGCCATGATGTTAAGACAGAAATAGAGCTTAGCAGGATGGGACCGAGAATGGACTTGGCAGAGCTAGGACTGGATAGAATGGGGCCGGGACTTAGCATGATGGGATAGGAGCTTGCTTAGGATGGGACGGAATGGAGACTTGCTCATGGGATAGAATGGGACTTGTCATGATGGACAAGAATAGGGCTTAGCAGGATGGGATGGAATGGGACTTGGCAGGATGGGATAGGATGGCTTAGCAGGATAGGACGGAATAGGACTTAGCAGGATGGGATGGAATGGAGGCTTGTCATGATGGGACGGAATGAGGCTTAGCTTGAGACTGGGGACTTAGGATAGCAGGATGGGACGGAATAGGAGCTTGGCAGGATGGGACGGAATGGGAGCTTGCTTGAGGATGGAATGGCACAGATGGAACGGAATGGGCTTGGCATGATGGGACGGAATAGGGCTTGGCAGGATGGGACTTGGAATGGACTTAAGGCACAGGAGCTTAGCAGGATGGGACAGAATGGGGACTTGTCAGGATAGAGACGGAATGGGACTTGTCAGGATGGGACTTAGCATGATATGGACAGAATGGGCTTGGCAGGATGGGGCCAGAATAGGAGCTTGGCAGGATGGGACAGAATGGGACTTAGCAGGATAGGATAAGATGGCAGGACTTAGCAGAATGGGACTTGGCAGGATGGGACGGAATGGGACTTGGCAGGATGGGGCAGGAATGGGGCTTGTCATGATGAGAGGAATAGGGCGGAATGGGACAGAATGGCAGGATGGCAGGATGGGACGGAATGGGACTTGCAGGATGGGACGGAATGGGACTTGGCAGAGATGGGGACGGAATGGGGCTTGGCATGGATGGGACGGAATGGGAGCTTATTTGCAGGATAGGGATAGGACTTGTCAGGATGGGACGGAATGGGGCTTAGCAGGATGGGACGGAATGGGGCTTGGCAGGATGGGATGGAATGGGACTTATCAGGATGGGAGCGGAATAGGGCTTAGCAGGATGGGACGGAATGGGGCTTGGCAGGACTGGGACGGAATGGGACTTGGCAGGGATGGAATGGGAGCTTAGCAGGATGGGATGGAATGGGGCTTAGCAGGATGGGATGGAATGGGCTTGGCATGGGATGGGAATTGGCCTTGGCATGGATAGGATAGGGCTTATGAATGGGACTTGGATGGATAGGATGGAATGGGACTTGGCAGGATGGGATGGAATGGGGCTTGGCAGGATGGGATTGGCAGGATGGGACGGAATAGGAGCTTGGCAGGATGGGACAGAATGGACTGATGGGATGGAATGGGACTTGGCAGGATGGGACTTGTCAGGATGGGGCTTGGCAGGATGGGACAGAATGGGGCTTGGCAGGATGGGACGGAATGGGACTTGGTCAGGATGGGGCTTGGCAGGATGGGACGGAATGGGGCTTGTCATGATGGGACGGAATGGGACCTGTCAGGATGGGACGGAATGGGGCTTGTCATGATGGGACGGAATGGGGCTTGGCAGGCTGGGATGGATGGCAGGATGGGACGGAATGGGGCTTAGCTTAACTGGGACACATTTGTGGATGTCCTATCAAATCTCATTACAAGTAACCTGTTTGTCCTTGTGTGGTGACAAGCAACAGAAGCAAAAGAACTTTAGTCCATCCAGATTTACCAGGACAGAAAATGTTGCCATTGCAAATGTTGAGCCATCTCATGTTTGCTGGAAAATGAAAATCGACCGCTGATCTGTCATGACCATATCTATGGTTGTCACAACTGACGGACCTCGGTGCAGCATCTCACAGTGATCATAGTACTATGACTGTCATAGGACCGCAATATTCCATCTATATGAGCAGTGGCCTGTAAATATTTGAGTCAGGACCTGACAATCCAGTGATTGATGTAAACATCCATCTACCCAGTTTTGTAAGGCTGACATGTGTCAACCAAGTCACCAAGTCTGACCACCCGATCCCGTTAGTGGCCTCTTACGACAAGCATGGGTTGGTGAAGAACAATTCTATCCCAGACTTTCACAGGTGTCGTAAGACTTATGTATGGAATCATTTTAGTGCTAAAGTTGACTTTGTGGAATGAAAGCTGTATCACTTTGGACTTTCCCCAACACTGAACTGTTGTGTTAATTTGCCAATTTGCCAATTGTGTGGCAAATTGGGCTTCTAGTGGATAGAGTGTCAGTTCAGAGAGTAGGTGGTTCCATTCCTAACTGAGCCATACTGAAAGATTGTACTTGCTGTTACCCTGCCTGGGACCCTGCATTAATGGGGATGAAACTAAGACTGATCAACAGTAGTCTACTGTGTCTTTAGGCAATTTCCATGTTTGAATGAGCCATGGTACGATCTCAGTCGACTATCACTGTATATGTAGTATTTTTAGTACACGCTGACATGCAAATACATGCATGTCACAATATCTAAAGGCAATAATCTTGCTTGAACATGGCATTTAACATAATGATGTGTGTTATAGTAAACAGCTTGATGTTGCTGACACTAAAACAAGCCTTTATCCAAAGATTTTCTACTTTTTATTAATCCATGTACTTTAATCTTTCACAGGAGTAACTCAAGATCAAAATCTTCAAAGAAGAAGAGCTCCTCGGACAGTAAACGCAATCGCAAACACTCTCGATCATCTCCATCAGCACGCTCAAAGTCCCCGAAAAAATCAAAATCCAAAACTGGAAAAGGTGATAGAAAAAGCTCAAAGGACCACCTTTCTGATAACGAAGATCGCAAAACCGAGAAGAAGGAAAGGAAGGCTAGAGACAATGGTGACACAAAAGAGAAATCAAAATCGCCTCTTAAAAAGCCTGTTTCACGAGAAATATCACCAGTGAAAAAAACGAATGGAGAAGTGAATTCGAAAGAAGATAAAAGGGAGGCAACTCCTCCCACTAGATTTTCCGATCCTATTGAGGGTCGATGGGTGGATACAAGTCCTCTGGCTAAGGAGAATATAGAAGGCCGATGGGCTGACAATTCCCCTATTGAAACCAGACAAGTTGAAGATGGACTGGCCGACTCTCCACCACAGAAATGCCCTAACCCTATTGAGGGTCGATGGGCTGACACCCCTTCACCTTCAGAAGACAACAGAATGGACCAGGGTGGAGGGATCAGTCCTAATGGACGTGAGTGAGCGTTGGAAGAAAGAATGTGAGTGGGCATAATAGTGACAAATGGTTCCTATTTTATACTAATGATATCATTCCATTTTGAAAGAGATTCAAAAATATAGTTTTATCATATACCCCAGACAGTTGCTTAATGATTTTACAGATGCCACATTAAAAGAACGAGGTATGGGTTACACAAAAGTTGGTGGATTCATATCCAAGGTATGGTGCTCAAAGTCATATGATCCCATACATTTAATGGGTTCAAATCCTTGCTTGCCTCTGATTATATTACTGGGGTTTTAACACTGTACCCACAGTCATGGGTTTGATAGTGGTAAGTTTCGAAGACCTGACCTAAGCTAGCATGCCATGGTGTAACTGGAAAATCTATCCATAGCAACATTAAAACCCAAATCAACTCACCATACATTTGCAGTACATTTTAGTCTATGAACAATCAATAGCTAAGATTCCCTGACTAAACGTATCTAACAAGAGTCAGTTGTCTGAATTAAGCTGCTGATGTCTACAATGTGTTGAAATGATTGTGTGATTCATGCGCTTTTCAATGGATTGGAGTCCATCTTTTAACAGATACTTTGTTATTGTCATACTGAAGTTGGATCTGTAATTTATACAGTATTTTATCTAATACAAAACCAGAATGCATTGTTTTCTCGAGAAGGGATGTTGGACATATTGAGGATGTGTTCTCTATCAACATTACGCATACAGTATTTAGTGAAAGAAATGCCTCAAGACAATTGTAAACTGTAAATCAACCAATTATTTTCTGAAACAAGCAGTTTCTTAGACAATTAACTTAACACATGTATTGTTTTGATCACATCATTAAATGTTGCTTTTTTTATAACTTTGTTTTCATTTCTATGCTTAAATGTCATTTTACTTTCATCATGGAATATAGGGGAAGGGAGGTAACTCTATTTGCAAATTTTATAACACAAATAGCAGCACCAATCCCTAACCGTCATTTGAAGGTAAAATCATGTGGAATTAACATCATTTCCTGGATTATAGTTAGTGGGTTTACAGTATGCATGTCAAAAACTCTGGAAGTGGAAGAATGTCAAAGATGTTTGAAATATCGTGTGTTGATTGGATACGTCAAGATACTTGCAGGCATGATTCAATAATGCAATGTTTCCTTGTTGTTCGATGTTATTGCAGTGAGTTTGTTGTCACTGTGTGCAGTGGTCTTCGTACCTGATAGCAACAAGTTTGTGTGCAGAGTTGCTTCCCTTAGACAAACCGGGATCACTTTTCAATGGTTTAGGTCACAGAATTTTCATCGTTAGTGTGTCAATACTATCACCATTCTGGTGCATTTCCCATTGTTTACTATGGAAAAGGCCTTGTGAGCATATGACTTCATTTACACTCCATGAAATATTTTGGTAGAACAAGCCAGACATTGTAAAATCTCGGTTTCTTTATTGTTTGAAGAAACCGTCTTGTCAGTAGCCTGAGATAGCTAGAAAATAAATCTTTCAGCTTTGTAGAACCTTTTTCATACACCCTTCACTGTAGCTTAGAAAAACTCTGCTTATAGATCCTTAAATACAGTAAAATAGAAAAGATGTTTCAGATTATTTATTTAAAAATGTTAATTTGTTAAAACGTTCTCTGAATTCGTTGGCATAAGTGCAGAGTTTACTGATGGACTTATTGTAGCCTATTGCAAGTAAATCTCTTGAATGTACATCTTATTTCATGGTGCACAAGTTTGAATTTCATAACATTAACTTGTCATTTTTGTAGTTTGATCAGAAGTTTACACAATAACTTGGGGGCAGCGGGGTAGTCTAATGGTTAAAGCATTCACTCGTCATGCTGAAGGCCGAGGGTTCAATTCCCCAGATGGTTAACAATGTGTGAAGCCCATTTCTTGTGTTCCCCGCTGTAATATTGCTGGAATATTGCTAAAAGCGGCTTAAAACTAAACTCACTCACAATAACTTGTGTTATAGTATGGTCCTTATCATGATGCAAGTATCTTGACACACATTGTACCATGTGGTTAGTGTACCACATAGTTATTGAACCTTGTGGTTAGTGTACCACGTGGTTCATGTATCAGCACCAGAATGTTCCTGTCAGTGCCAATGTTTTACCTGTAAGTCTGGACCTGTCCTCGCTGTCTGAACACCTGTATTATCCAGAGCTACACATGTTGACTGACACTGATACTGATACTCACACTATCAGGCAACTGTTGCAGGGAGCAGTTCACAAGTTAAAAAGGATTTAAAAAATAGTTACTCAAGTTTTGAAACAAACACGTAAGATTTGAATGTTGACATCTTGAAACTTCATTTGTCTCTTTGTTGTCACTTTGTATTGACTTACAGGGGTAGTGAGAGATTGTACGAGTGTCAACCTGACTGTTTTTCTCTACTTTTGAGCTGCTCCCTCACCCACTGATATTAATCTGGACAGTGTTGGTTGCCCTATTGTTTTGTCCATTTAAATTTGAAGAATTACTTGTGTGATGGAAGTGTGGAAGTTTCAAAGATTTTGGACATTTTATGACTAGTTTGTTTGTCTATGCGGTTGTGTTGTGTATTTTTCATAATTGTGTTCAAACATAGAAAGTGTACAAATGGAATTAAGAATATTTATTTGGATTTGGCTTCAAATAGGATATATGGTTCTCTTGCACTGCTCTCTCCTTGACTAACATTCTACTTCTGGGCAGTAAATTTACCTTCTTGAACTAAGGAAGCGCACATTTCCCCCCTTGAACCCCCAAACCTCCCCAGAGCTCCAGATAAGATTTAGCTCATGTGGGTACTGTACCCACTGTATATTTTTGGAGTGGGTATTATGAATGTTAAGTGGGTATTTCATTTTCCATTACCCACTGCTTTCAAATATGTGAGTATTTCAGTCATTTTACTTACCTAAGGCCTATATCATTGAGTAAGTTTACTAAGCAGGTATGTTCTGCCTTATGTCATATATAATGGAAATGATTTCATAAAAATCACTCATCCTGTACACACAGTTGTGCCTTGCAATGATGTCTTTTTCATTACGCAAGCAATTTTATAAATATATTCCATACCTTTGTTTTAAACTTTCACTAACATTTCTTTATTTTTCAATGCTGCATTTTACCCGGATACGCAGCTTATCCTTCCCAATCCCAACCATCTATGTTCACGTGTACATTGTGCCTCGCAATGTTTTTGAAGTAGAATCTCCTCTGAAATCACAACTTCAGAACTGCAACTTTCCTTTGATGATCGAAACCTTGTTGTCTATGATTGGTTTCTTTGATGTGTTTAAATGCCTTCACACAGCAGTATTCCAGCTATATAACAAGGGTCTGCAAATATAAGGACGTGGACCAGACATTCCAGTAAATAGCATCACGACCATCAATCTCTACAATGAGAGATGATGACATGCATGAACTGAGTGAGGAAGCCTGACCAACCAGTCCTGTTTGTCATCTAGTATGATACACATTGGTGGCTGAATATTAATTCTAACCAGATATTCGCATGGTTTTGTGAATTGGGCAGCCATATGGTGCTTCTTTAGGGAAGTTTGTTCCTTTACTCAGTTTGAATAACAAATTTATATCTCCTGAAACCTCTATATTTGGAGCTGAAATTTTGCATATTTTGTAAATGACATTTTGGATTGGTGGCTGAATATTAATGATAACCAGATATTCACATGGTTTGTCAATGGGACAGCCTCATGGTGCTTCTTTTATGATCAACATCAGTTTGTTCATTTACTCAGTCTGGTCAAGTGTTCTCGTCACGATATGGCTGAAATATTGCCGATGTGACGTTAAATAATAACTCACTCACTCACTCACTACTCAGTCTGAATAACAAATTTTATTTATTACCCACGTGGTCAACATATGGGTAGTTGCATACTAATCTCGTACGTCACACGAGTGTCGTATCGCGTTGACCTGTGTTGTAACGACTTGACCTGAGATTCTAACGATTTGATTGGATAACCAATGATGTCTCAATTAGGTCACATTCTGACGTAACTATTTTTTTATTCATAACAAACACGTGAATTCATTCATTCTACAACTTAAATGCATTGTGGGAATGTAAACATTGCGAACGTTGCCGTGTCGCTGTTTAATTGTGAGTCAAACTGAGACATTATATCCATCGAAAAACATAAACGCAATGTTTCCACCAGTGATGTTAGCCGAATGAAGCAACTGCAAACCAAGAAACGAGGTGCTACGGAGTAGTTTACTGTAGGAGGCTGTACGAGGCGATGACAACTGACATGCATCGTGACGTCGGTTACCAAGGCAGTGACGTCATTACAGTGTGACGTCATGCAAATATTGTACTACAGTACAAAACTCTTCCGCAACCTCTTTATGAAACCGGTTTCGGTTTGAAACCATAAAAATAACAAAAATACGCTATTTTGTCAATTTAATGCATGTAAGACGTGGGTAATAAATAAAATACCACACTCGGTCTCATTACATACGAATTATACGAAACTCATGACCTTCCTATGGTCAGATACCATAGCAAGGACACTCATTTTGTATAATTCGTATGTAATGAAACCTCATGTAGTATTCTCTATATATCCTTAAGCCTCTATATTTGGAGCTTTAATTTTGCATATTTTGTGAATAAGATTTTGGATCACATTCAGATCCAATAAGAGATGTGGATGCCATGTAGCCAATGCTGCATTTTGTGCAAGGTACTGGGACATTTCTGTAAGTATCATAAAATAGCCATAATGCTTTCTTCCGGAATTCATATGACTTGTTTTACTTCTTCCAGTAAAACAATGAGCTACAGAGTCTTTCACTTCCTTCCAAGTCTGTGCCTCAGAACCATATGTATTCTTATTTGCAGCTTCAGCTCAGCCACGTGATAGGTGCTTTCTAGTCTGTAACTGTAATTTTATCCTTGCAAAATGATTTGTAATTGTTAAGTTGTTGTTGAATAGGGTAAATGGCAAGTGTTAGCCTGCCATACAGATGGATGTGGGTTCAGTTCCCGTTGGGCTATGTATGCAAGCCCAAGTCCCTGGTATGATTGTGATTTTTCTATAACATGTGAATAAAAACTGTGGTATAGAATAACTGAGATTCTTGTTATTTTGATCCAACCCTGACAAAACTCACTGCCTTGTTTATAGATTGCAGTCAGTAGATCAGTATGCACCTGATTTCATTCTCAGCTTCCCGAGGAGTATACAAGCAAGATGACAAGTAACAATGGTAATGCAGATTCCTGTTCCTCAACACCATTCGGGGCCGTGGGGTAGCCTAATGGTAAAAGTATCCACTGGTCACGCTGAAGACCCAGGTTTCATTCCCCACATGGGTACAAAGTGTGAAGCCCTTTTCTGGTGTCCCCCGCTGTGATTTTGCTGGAATATTGCTAAAAGCAGTGTGAAACCTAACTCACTCACTCAACACCATTGATTTGTAATAAGTCTCTTGCAGCCTTGTCAGATAGTACATGAGGCCAGGTGGTAGCCAATTATTTTGTTTTTCTCACTGAAGCCTGAGTTCGATCCCATTTTTTGTTTTTCTCACTACTACTTTTTTTCCTTAATTCACCAAACAAAAAGAACTGCTGGCTGAACATACTGAATGTCCTTTGAATCAAAAACAGAAATTGTGCAGGTCGAATGGACAAAATTGACTGTTTTGAAACCAACCTGTGAAATTTTATGTGTGGTGTTTTTATATATGGACATGTGTGTCCCGTTTGCAATGTGTTTTCAATGGAGATTCCTGATTTGAGAACTTCTCAGTGAGCTGTCATGATTGCCTGTAAATAATCGGGACAAGGGCAGAAAGCATGCTATCCGGCTCAATCTGTTGCACGGATCTGTTATATCAGTAAACTAGAAGTGTGCAGTATAAAGTTGTTTCAGATTTTCAGTTTACAGTTTATTGTTTGCACCACTGTGGTTCTGACAATCCCACGTTGCCTTGATGGGATCGAACCCAGGTCTTTCTCATTAAGAGATTTTACCCCACTAACCCAGAGAAAATGTAGTGGAAGCTTTTGCATGCAGTGCATCACAAACGAACATGAATCACACACACTGTAGAAGAAATTTTATTTAAGATATACTAAACAAACAAGGTTAATGTGTTGGAGAGAACAATATAGGTGTAAAAAAACACTGATTTTGAAAGATTTTCTTTGTTTTAAGGCCACATTGAGCAATATTAAAGGAATATGAGGGTGGTCTGTACATACTAAAAATCGCATCTTGACCAGACTATCCAGTGACTGACATCATGAACATCAACTGACACACTCAATCCAATATGAGAACATGCATCAACCCATCCGTATGTAACCCATAATGTTGGTTTGTTGTTTAAGCTGCACTCAGCAATATTCCAGCTATATGGCAGCGGTCTGTAAATAATCCAGTCTGGACCAGACAATCGAGTGATTAACAGCATGAGCATCATACGCAATTGGGATATGATGACGTGTCAAACAAGTCAGCAAGTCTGACCACCCGTAACCCATATGGACATGCATGGGTCGTTGAAGACATTCTAACCTGAATCTTCAGGGGCTTCTGAAATAAACGGACATCATGCAAGTGAAAGAGACATACCTGTAGGAAACAACATAATGAACATGAAATTGTTCATGGAACACCTTCTCAAGTACTGTGAACAGTGCTAATGTCAGGTAAGTCATAACTGATAAAGTACAGGGCCTAGATTTTCGAAGCTCTCTTAGCGCTAAGATAGTCGTAAGTGCCATACATTAACATTAACTTATGACTATCTTAGCGATAGAGACCTTCGAAAATCTAGGCCCTGGACTACACAAGTGACAAACAAGCCTGACACCTCAAGAACTTTTATGCACTTAGTAGTTTTTACTGTGTCCAATGTATGTTTATACACAAAAATATTGAGTTTACTTTTCCCAGTATGTTGTCTTTGATGAGGAATACTCATCGTATGTGTTGTATATAGCGTGACAGTGTATATTTGTATGCACACCTAATTCACTAAGCTGCTGTATATAGAAAAAATGTTTGGTATGCATCCTATATATATGTTTGTTGTATGGATGCCATTGTACTGTAGGACATGCGGTAATATGATAGAATCTGTGTCTCACCCTGTACATTTCCTCTTTGTTTGATATATATTGCTCAAAAGAAGTTAAGAATCCAGTTTTTCACTATAGTTAATCTGTAATGATTACTTGCAGTAATGTGAAAGAATTGGGTGTTGTATTGAGTGGTGTATTGAATATACATGTGGATATTTATGTTAAATGGTGTTAATTTCAACAACTTAAGAAATACAGTCCTCTCTACCCCCATGTATAGTGTAATAAAGTACACTTGCCCTGAACTATTATAGTTAAAGTACGAGGAACTTGCTAATAATATGGTATCCTGTTTGCGTTTACGGTCTATTATCAAGTAAACATTGGGTACAGTCAACGTTTATCATGTAGTCTAACAACTTCTCACAAACTTTAGTCAATTTGACTAGGCACAGTTAACTGTCAGTTGATAATCATGAACTCCATTCAGGAAGATTTCCACGAATCGGCAAGGGAGTTTCGAGCACTTTCCTCAGATATATTGTCACAATGTCCACCACTTTTGCTCATGGCGACCGCATGACCATTGCACGGGCTAATTTCGCAACAGGATAGTGCAGATATCACAACATATCCCATACTTATTTGACATGTATTTGCCTACTTCTCTCTCAATTACAAACCGTCCCACCTGTAAAGACGCGTAAAAAACTAATAGGCCTACCTACTATCCATTAAGCATATTGAAAAAGACAATAGTATTTGCCATTTGTGGAGCGATCAATAAACATATCAGTATTCCTTCTTGTCAATATCGGCGACGGCGGCATCAACAGCCTGCGGCAGGAACCCCTCGCTCAACGTCGTCGGTCTCTGCAGGTCTTCCTTCACGTCTTTCTCCTGCGAGTCAGGCATGGGGAAAAATGAGGTTTGGAAAGATACCGGTTTGAAAATCAAAAGTTTCAAAATCGCATAACAACCTCTGATGGCGACCCCACGGAAGCTGATAGTTCTAGGAATGTACTTAGTTAAGTTATCATGAGAGACATATTTTGGCAATAAATTATTCGTTATTTGTTAAGGGGCGGTGGGGTAGCCTAGTGGTTAAAGCGTTGGCTCGTCACGCCGAAGACCCGGGTTCGAATCCCCACATGGGTACAATGTGTGAAGCCCATTTCTGGTGTCCCCCGCCGTGATGTTGCTGGAATATTGCTAAAAGCGGCGTAAAACCAAACTCAGTCAGTCAGTCAGTCAGTTATTTGTTAAATATGTTTTGACGGATTTCCAATATAATGCCGACTATTAAGCCGACAATGTATTTCCCATAAAATACAGTGAGTGACTGAGTAAGGTTTTATGCCACTTTTAGCAATATTCCAGCAATATCTCTGCGGGGGACACCAGAAATGGGCTTCACACATTGTACCCATGTGGGGAATCGAATCCGGGTCTTCAGCGTGACGAGCGGACGCTTTAACCATTGGACTACCCCATTGGCCCCATGAAATATAGAATATGGGCATTTTCTCATATAACGGCTACTTGCTGTCTCCCCATTATATTCACCATGCATACATATGTGTGCGTGCGTGCGTGCGTGCGCGTGTGCGTGTGTGTGTGCCATGTGTTCTGGAGTATTTCCTCACCTTTTTTTTCCTCCTGACCTCGAAACACATGTGGATCCTCTCAATGACTTCAACGAAGAGGGCGAGGACAACGAATGCGCCGAGCACCATGAAGACGCCGTACATGTGGGTGAGCTCCAGTTCCTTGGTGGCCTTGTTTTTGACTGACCGTGTGTCCGTGTCGGTGGTGCAGTTGCTACGGGAAGTCCACCATCTGAACAAAGACCTTGTCTTAGAGGAAATACCCGGGTATACATGCAATATAGTCTGTTTGCAGTGAACACGTACGGATGAATTTCACTTTAAACAAAAAAGTAAATCAAGTTAAGTGAAATTAAGATTGCGAATCCTCATAATTTTACCTTGCCAATTGAACATTCAAATCTCAGAATGTTATTCAACTTAGGATAAAAGTTGTTTAACAAACGATCATAGATTCAAATCGCTATTATTGGTTTGTATTACAAGGGGGTGAGTGCAGTAGATGGAATAGTGAAACAAATGCACGTGCGGTACGTGGCGAGCGTTATCTTAAACCAACACTACTTGTTCTCGATGTTTCATTTAAAGTGCATACCCCCTTGTAATACAAACCAATAATAGCGATTTGAAACTATGATCGTTTGTTAAACAACTTTTATCCTAAGTTGAATAACATTCTGAGATTTGAATGTTCAATTGGCAAGGTAAAATTATGAGGATTCGCAATCTGAATTTCACTTTAATCGATTTACCTTTTTGTTTAGAGTGAAATTCATCGGTACGTTTTCACTGCAAACAGACTATAGATGGTTTGTTGTTAAACGCCGCACTCAGCAATATTCCTGCTCTAACTGTAAATTAACGAGTCTGGACCAGACAATCCAGTAATCAACTGCATCAAACGGCGCATTTGGGATACGATACCATTTTGTCAAACCAAGTCAGCGTGCCTGAACACCCGATCCCATTTGTCGCCTCTTACGACAAGCATGGTTTACTAAAGACCAATTCTAACCCGGATCTTCACGCGTTGGGTATACATACAAACATGCACTGGAAACATACCTTGAAGAAATACGGCTTCCTGAAGTAATAATAGGTCTGGCTCACAGACCCCAGAGAATATATTGTAATGAGTCCAACTCAAGGCTCGAATGAACTGGAAAGTCTGGATTGCCACAGTCCGAAATTATGGATAGTTCTTGGCGCGCACACACATGCACACGCACACGCGCATGCACACAAAAGGCCTTGAAATCGACAGTCACATCTCAACAAACACTGAGCTGTAGCACAAACATTCTTTCAAAATGGATGCATTCTATCCATTCTATCCATATCAAAGCATTTCTGTTGACCTAAGTTCCCTGGAATCGCATTTTGCATTGTTGAACCAACGCTAAAATAATCTTTCAATCAAATTACAAACACGCAAGAACAATATTTTGGAAGTTACTGACATTAATGATAGTGATGTCACTTCCGAGATTCACATCGGCTTCTTTTGAAAGAATTCTGTTGTACGTGTATCTTGCAATCCCCAAGAATACAAATGATCACGTAGTTCCTGAATTCTCCGAGGTAATGTGTTGCAGAGCAACCTTTCTGTGCTGTTACAATAACTCGGTATCAGAAAGCCAAACATTATCACTTGAACCGTAATGAAATGACATTAAAAAATAGTTCAGCGAAACCACACACAACACAGTAATAAGAGTCGATTTAACGCACGTTGCAATACATGACCAGTCCCGTGAGCAGGAAACCAATTATACTCAGGCCAATTTGATTAGCAATATTTCTGTCATTTGGCATTGAAACAACCTGTAGCCCAACAGTTTGTTTGCAGGTTTTAACGCCTTCCAATCTAATAGACCTACTTCTTAATGAGCGTGTCCAGTTTTCCTTCCTCCTTCAGAGACAGCAGCGCTCTGTTGACATCGTCCTTGTAAGGAGCTCCTCGTGGAAAGCCTAGACTGAAGTCTTTCTGAGCAAAGTTCTGCTCAATGGACTCCAGTTCACAGTGACCTAATGCGTAGTAGTCGTTGACGACTTTCTCAGCAATGAACACGAATTTCCCTTCCTTAACCGACTGGATGATCATGTCGGTGTCAGACCACAACGTGCCTTCCAGTTTCATAAATGCCCACATACGTTCATACGGGTCTTCCTTGGCATTTCTGCAACCAGAGGTATTATGGTTAAACTGCCTGTTATTAATGCATAGTGAGTGAGTGAATTTGGTTTTACGCCGCATTTAGCAATATTCTAGCAATATCACGGTGGGGGACACTAGAAATGGGCTTCACACATGGGCTATACCCATGTGGGGAGTCGAACCCGGGTCTTCGGCTGATGAGCGAACGCATTAACCACTAGGCTGAACCCACTGCCCCTACTAATATATAGTTGACGTACGCCAAAGATTAACCTTATCCAAAGAAACATATTTCATTTGTGTGTAAAAGGCAAAATAGGCAAACGATAATATTAGTATCACTAACTATCAGGGATGACTCCAGGTTCCAGAGAAAGGGATGGGCATGGGATGTCTCTATGTATCTCATGCAATTAGCAATAATCAATTCCATTTATCATTCCTTTCATAAAAGGGGCGGTGGGGTAGCCTAGTGGTTAAAGCCTTCGCTCGTCACGCCGAAGGCCCGGGTTCGATTCCCCACATGGGTACAACTTGTGAAGCCCATTTCTGGTGTCCCCCGCCGTGATATTGCTGGAATATTACTAAAAACGGCGTAAAACCATACTCAGCCAGTCCTTTCATAAAATACAAATATTTCCTTTATTTAACAACTTATCATTTATTTTGCAACGGTTCAAAATCAGAAACAGGGAAATATCCCAAAGAGGCAAGACTCATGTTTAAGTCTCCAAAAGGGAAAGGTTTTCCTCCAGCAAATTATCCTCTCTTTTTGTTTAAAACCGGAAAAATGTCACAATGATGAAGTCGGATGGCGTTCACAGTACACACATTTGTTAGCAATGTAGCATTTTCCCTGTATTTATCTGAAACTAACCAAAGCCCGGAAACAAGGTTTTCTCAATTTATACAATTTGGCTTTCACAAAGAACAACATAACATTATGTCATTCATCTGGTCATTTGTTTACTTATTTCGCTGAAAACAGATTTAACAAAACCCCATGCTTTGTCTAGAAAATGAATATACTTTTGAAAACATCCGCAGTGTTTGCAACATACGGGATCATTGTCACTGATAACGAAAGCCAACGCACTTGCTTTATAACGGTGTTACAATCTACACCGAAGCTCTTTCCTCATTGTAAATAAAGTTAATCATTCTCATATCTTATCCTTAACACAAGCAGTGTTTTTTTCTGTCCATGTAGATACTACCATGGCGAAAACCGGGCAGTCATAAGCCAGTTAAAAGGATGGTGACTACAGAATCACGATCGAATGTCGGGCGAATTTGGGATTCGAACCCACGACCTGTTGATGGTGACTTGGCTAAGGGAGACAACTCTGCCAATGTTATATTTTGCAGCTAACAGTGTACAGTGGCCTCAATGGCGTCTGGTTACCTACTCGAAGAAGGTCATCAGATTGCTGTTCATCCTCACACCATACAGCAACTCCGTCTGACCGGCCAGGTCATACACTGTTCGGATCCTGTGATAATACATGCAGCATATGTCATATTTGGTCCAATAGTACATATACACTATGACATTACATTAACGCACCATACTTTCAGAAAAGTCATACACTGTTATAGATAAAGCCAGTGATTCCATAGTTATATGAACATAGAATCAATTTTCGTCACAGGTGTGGGGAGGATGCTTCAGGTGAGGTGAGATGAAATTGGGTTTTACGTCGTGCTTAAGAATATTTCGCTCATATGACGACGTGCATGTGTGTGTATGTGTATGTGCGGCTGCTTGTACTAGCCCAGACTTAAGCTGGTTTTATAGTGCTAGCCCACTGAGATACCATGCCGCATTGAAGCATGAATACCCCACTCAGACACATTATACTGACTCCGAGCCGACCAGTCCTTGTTTTATGCATTAATGCCGAGCGCCAGGCAGGGACCAACAGGTACCATATTTTAACGTCTTTTGGTATGACGCGGTCGGGGATCGAATCCGCGACCTTCCGCTCTCCGGTGGATGCTTCAGGAAGTGAGGTGGATGAACGGTAGTGTGCCTGGATTTCCCTAATGTTCTGACGCAAATGCTACACTTGACGAAGATGACAGATGTACTTTTGTCTATATTATGCATATTATACATAGAGGAATTGTTAATGATGTACAGACTCCAGTAGACATTTACTGAGAATATTCTGACTGATTCAGATGACAGAGCAACATCCTTAAATACTTTGTTGTAGAACTTTTTTTGCCAAAGAGTTTCAGCCAGTGGCGAGTCTGCCATATAATGTACTCATTGTGATACTTAGTGTATCAAGACCCGTGAAGGTCCGTGTTAGAATATTGATCTTCAGCAACCCATGCGTGTCGTAAGAGGCAACTAACGGGATCGGGTGGTCAGGCTCGCTGACTTGGTTGACACTGGCTCATGGCAATCTGACAACGGGATTCTCTGTACTGTGTCGTCATAGAAGCGAAGTAACAAGACCAGAAGTAAACCCGTTACACACACAGACGTTGAACCATTAAAACGTACACCCACTTATAGACATACCCGTGGAGATCCAAGTTAGAATTGGTCTTCAGCAACCCATGCTGTCGTAAGAGGCAACTAACGGGATCGGGTGGTCAGGCTCGCTGACTTGGTTGACACATGTCATCGAATCCCATTTGCGCAGATCGATGCTCATGCTGTTGATCATTGGATTGTCAGGTCCAGACTCGATTATTTACAGACCGCCGCCATATAGCTGGAATATTGCTGAGCGCGGCGTAAAACAAAACTCACTCACTCTCTTAGAGTATCAAAGCGATCGTAATCCACTTCCTGAACATAAACTTTCAATTGTATTAGTACTATGGTCGCATTCATAAGCGCCGCCCTCCTTTTTCATAACATCTTTTTGACTTTCTCAATGAACCGGAGAAACATGTCCTATTTTGAGTATACAAGATTTGTAAACTGATGCCAAGTAAAATGGGAATTTGTATGTTCAAGATTTGTGACAGCAGGTCTGGTACCTGTTATCTATCTGTTGTAGAGTGAGGTAGGCGGCCAGGTTGGCGGTGTAGGCGGCGTCGATGATGAGGACGCAGAACCAGAAGAAGGCGATGATGGTCCTCATGGACGTCGTCTGGGGGGAATACTCTGTTGTGCCCTGGAAGTATGGACATTATGTGACTTGTGGAACCTACATTCAACCTGTTACAGACACAGATATATCAGTAGTCTTCGAAGGCGTCCATACATGGGCATAATCATAGAGTTCTTGGAACATGTCCATTATCGAGAACTTTTGACTATACAGGACTAGTGGAAAAAAAGTTCGTCGGTCTGATGATCACATGTCTTATTTTTGATGAGGTATGTGTTAGTTCCAGCTCTACCACCATCTTAACATATCCTGGAATCGCCCTCGTACATTGACATGCTGGCTGCGTTGATACACCATACATTACCTCTGGTAATCAGAGGCGACAAAACCCTTTCCATATACCCCTGACACATCCGGTAAACATTATGTTGGCTGCGTTGATACACCATTGTACAATTCTGACTATATCATTCGCTTGTGTGTATGAATCACTTTCAAACAGTGATGACTCTGCCCAACCGGTGGCACACCTCACAAACACACGCAAAGGCAAGTAAATTGTTCAACTGAAATGAAAGGCAGATATACGGCCCAAATCAAACCAGGCAATGGCATCGTCAAGCTACGTCGTCTGCTACAAATACATACCTGCAGTAGCACATTGACTGAGTACCACATACTCTCCTTGAGGTCGAACCTCTGCTCGCTGTTCTCCTGGGTGTAGTCGAACCGGCTCATGGTGTACAAGGCGGTTCCTGCCACCATGATGAACCCCAGGATCATGAACCATAAACCTGGTGACAAAGAGTGAAGATTATTGCAGTCCCGCATATGCGGTATGGCCTATCTATTGAGTTTCATACCTTCCAAGGTAAAGTCTCTCTGCTCATGTTTGTCTTTATAATGTGTGTAAAGTTGTAAACACATAACTAAACTATTCTTTTAAAGAAGTAAAGTGTAACGTGTTTGGCTTCACCGATCAGGCCTTTTAAAGATTAAAAATAACGTTAAATGCAAATATATTCGGAATTTACAAATCGAAATTTACAGATCACTTCTTGTGTGCTCATAGCTATAATCCTAGAAGAAACGAAGACGAGGTTACAGAGGGAATAATTACACATACGTGTACTGTGATCTGTACCTGTGTACCTGGATAAGTATATGCAACTAATCATGACAAAACTGAAACACTGACTATTATGACTCCAACTCTAATTAGATATACAAATCAGAATCTTACATGTGCTCTACTTCACAAAATCAAGAACGCCGAAGAAGCTTAACTTCAACAGCAGAGATGATTAAGTATCTCTGCTTTATAACTAGAAGATTACTTCACCAATACAGATCAAAAGTTAATTGATCTCTGTTTCATTAAAACAGAAGATTCAATTATCTCTACTTGACCAATCCAGAAGGTTAAAGGGTATCTACTTCCCGATACAGAAGCTTAGAGGGTATCTGATTCACCTCTGCAGAAGGGTATTTGATAACTACTTCGTCAGTATAGACGGTCCAATGGTCTCTACTTCACCAATACAGAAGGTTTTGGGTCTCTACTCTACTAACACAGGTTCTAAAATCTCTACTTTACCAATACAGAAGGCTCAAGGATCTTTGATTGACCAATACAGAAGGTAAAAGAATCTCTTCTCCAGCAATGCAGAAGGTTAAAGGATCTCTACTCCACCAAAACAGAAGATTGAAATATCTCTTCTCCAGCAATACATAAGATTAAATGATCTCTACTCTAGCAATCCAGAAGGTTGAATGATCTCTACTCCAGCAATCCAGAAGGTTGAATGATCTCTACTCTAGCAATCCCAGAAGGTTGAATGATCTCTACTCCAGCAATCCAGAAGGTTGAATGATCTCTACTCCAGCAGAGAAGGTTGAATGATCTCTACTCCAGCAACCCAGAAGATTAAATGATCTCTACTCCAGCAATCCAGAAGGTTGAATGATCTCTACTCCAGCAACCCAGAAGGTTGAATGATCTCTACTCCAGCAACCCAGAAGGTTGAATGATCTCTACTCCAGCAACCCAGAAGGTTGAATGATCTCTACTCCAGCAACCCAGAAGGTTGAATGATCTCTACTCCAGCAATCCAGAAGGTTGAATGATCTCTACTCCAGCAATCCAGAAGGTTGAATGATCTCTACTCCAGCAACCCAGAAGGTTGAATGATCTCTACTCCAGCAACCCAGAAGGTTAAATGATCTCTACTCCAGCAACCCAGAAGGTTGAATGATCTCTACTCCAGCAACCCAGAAGGTTGAATGATCTCTACTCCAGCAACCCAGAAGGTTGAATGATCTCTACTCCAGCAACCCAGAAGGTTGAATGAGCTGTACCCATAGAGAAGGGTCCGAGGAAGAGGAAATATGTCCTGGTGTTGGTGGCCCTCCTGGACAGGATGCTGGCGGTGGTGGAGAGGATGGTGTGGGAGAAGGCGATCACCTCCTCCGTCTCGGCCGTCACCTCCAGGTCCCCCACAGCCATGGATGCATTCTGAAAATGGACCACGGTTAATTAGGAACGACCATTTAAAATCTTGCGAGGAGCTTGGAGATTTTGTCTAAAAATGTTTCAGCTGGCAGCTTCATTTCTTGCTTATGAACTTAGGTGCTGAACAATATGTTTTTCAAAGCTCATTATCTTTGATATACAGCAAAAAATGATCGTTATTTTGTTTCTTCACGCCATACTCAGCAATGTCCGTCCAATACGCGGTTTTAAACTCGAATCGGGGGAGGTGGGGTAGCCAAGTGGTTAAAGCATTCGCGTCACACCGAATACCCGGGTTCGATTCCACACATGGGTACAATGTGTGAAGCCCATTTCTGGTGTCCCCCGTCTGGAATATTGCTAAAAGCGGCATGAAACCGTACTCACTCACTCACGCATTAAACTCGAATCAACCAGTCAATCAATGGTTACATTATCTGACATACCCCGGTGAGGAGCTCCGTCACCATAGTGTCTGACTTGTTGATGTGGGCACCCTCCTCCACGTCGTAGATGTCATACGTGAAGTTGACTTTCTTGGAGATCATCTCCAGTAGGTCGACGTTGAAACCCTCGTACTTCCCCTCGAAGGTCTTCATCACAAAGGGCTCACGCTGAGGACACAGAGTTAGATTGTATGTCATTGAAAACAAATCCGATCTGTTCTTCGGAAAGAATTACAGAATGTGTTCGTAATTAAAAGTTACACGTGCCTAGCCGATTAGTCTCTGAATATATTTAATTTTCAAAGAAACAAGTAATTCGTTTTACAATGAGCTCCAGTGAGATGGGAGATTCTAAACCTAAGGAACTCTAGACTTTTATGGCCTTAGCTTTGCTAGCATTGCAGAAGGGGCGAAGCGGAAGGGACTGTGACACAGACTTCTCCGAGGGCTGTCTTGTCTGCTGATAAATTCTTGCTATAAATTCGAAATAACGTTTGATAACGTTTGGTGAAATCATTTTTTCAAGTGCATGCGTTCTTTCCATAACCTTTTTACAGGTTGTTACATACTTTTTAGCACTCGGTACGAACCATGTCTTCAAGTTTGCTACTTCGCCTTGCTGAGTTGCAACCCTTAGGTGTACCGGAAACTTATGATAGTGGATTCAAAAGCCAGAATCGGTTTACGTTTGTCAATGCCACATCTGCGTTCGTTTGCTTTACCAAAGGGGTAAAACACTAAGGCCTGAATGAGACCGGACTTTCTGCCTGCCCTAACAGAACTGAAATAATGTTACAAGCGGCGTTAAATCGAACTCACTCACTCACTCACTCAAATAGTTTACACCATTCTCGATTCCTGCTGACGATTCCCTATTCTTGCTCGTCTGCTTGCCCGGATGTTGATCTAAGGTGCCGTTGTACAAAGCGATATTAGCACTAAGTTGATCGTAGCTCCCATACATAGACTAAGTTAGTCTTAGCACTAAGGTTGTTTCGTACAGCGGCACCCTGCTTACCAAACGAGCAACGACTCTCAGTTTCTCGACCCACTGTCTGTCTCCGCTGGTGCGGTCATACACGGTAGCGTTCTTCATCCGAATCTTCGCCGTACCATTGCTGAAAGTGCACTTCCCAACCTGTAATACAAAGTACATAAATGTGTAAGCTGGTTTTAGCGTGAGAGAGTGTGTGAGTTTAGTTTTACGCCGCTTTCAGCATTATTCTAACAATTTTACGACGGGGGACACCAGAAATTAACTTCACGCCGTGTACCCGTGTGGGGATCGATCCCGGGTCATTTTACAGGACGAGCGAACGTTTTAGTCACTAGGCTACCCCACCGACCTTAATTGTCAGAATCAGGTATCTCTTTGGTAAAGAAACCAAGGTCAACAGATCATATTTTAGTATCGGATCATCTTCCCGATAAGAGGACTGACTGACTGAGTTTTGGTTTTACGCCGCTTTTAGCAATATTCCAACAACATCACGGTGGGGGGACACCAGAAATGAGCTTCACACATTGTACCCATGTGGGGATTCGAACCCGGGTTTTCGGCGTGACGAGCCAACGCTTTAACCACTAGGCTACCCCACGGCCCCCCGATAAGAGGAAGCTGACTAACTTGCCTCGGGAATATACATACAGTAGACAATATCATTTAGTTGGGCCATTTCATTTAGTTTCCCATTGTATTTATATATTAACGCATTTAAAGTTTAGAACCCTTTTTAAAGTCTTTATATTTATTTCAAGTAAGTCGAGTCGCTTTGTTTCGGAGCAGATTTTTTTTATAAATATAGCTTAAAGAAAGAACAAGTTTACCTATTTCTCAATGAGCGTTAATTAGTGGAGTATGTGTTTATCCCACTGGGGCTAATGTTTCCACAGTGTTGAGGACAATTGAGATAAAATACAAGAAACCTTCAGCCACGATGTCGGTTACAGGTTACTGGTTAGAGGATATGATGTCACTTTCTCCGCATCTCTCATCAGAACCGGAGATCTACACTCGAGAAGACCTCCATAAATTTAAAGTAGACTGTTAATAATATACCTTTATCTGTGTTTTACGTTGTTCTAAGTATTAAGACGTTGGATTTGTGCAAGTCAAGAACTGGTGTCATTTGACCAATGACCAGTTTGGGCTTATTGTTTGTACTGAAGATATTCGCACAGTTGTGGGTATTTTTTGTTTTCCATCACATAAAAAGTTCATATATACTATCCAAAAAGAGAAACGCATAGGCGTTATGGAGTTTTAAAAACCTATTAATTACCTATTGTGTTCAATGCAATCGTCAAAATATGTAACAAAAGTGTTGATAACATGATTTTTACACAGTTGCACAAGTAAAAAAATCGACTTTACCTGAAAATGCTGATTTTGATGAGATTTCTTACATGGATTATAACCGCATCGCCACAACACCACAAAAATCACCGTCCAGTTGAAAATGTGCAGCAAAGAGCATGTACTGTCTGGCTATAACAATACAGATTACTTTCGGAAATCGGCATTCGTTTTGAAGGAGTCGCCATTGAAAGAATGCACACTGGAGAATACCAATCATCTGTCTGAGCACGATATCACGGATTGCAGTTCGTTACAACCAAACAGGTACAACAAATGACCCTCCCCGTACAGGCAGACCTCGAGTCACCACTGCAGCCCAAGATTGGTACATCCGAGTACTACATTTGCGTGATCGTATTGCAACGGGTGAGAGCACAGCAGCCAGGGTGCCTGAACTTCGGAGGATATCCGGTCAAACTGTACGGAACAGGTTGAGAGAGATTGGACTGATAGCCAGGAGACCCGACGTCGGGACTGTGCTACGTCGTCACCATCGCGCTCAACGTCTCCGTTATCTAAGAGTATCCCCTTGGTTGTATAGACATTTCCTTCTTCTAAACTGATGTAAAAATTCATGCACTAAAGTCTATTTGTGGACGAGTTATACATGTTTGAAAATACAACATTTTCGCAACAGATTTCTGGTCTATGCGTTTCTTTTTGGGATAGTATATATTTACATAGGCCAACAGCTTGATCAATGAACATTTTGGACGCATTTAATGTTCATTAAATGCATGGCAAATGGAACAGTTGGATACTGTACATTTTATGTATTAATATAAGTTAACTCTTTATACAGAGACGTGGTACACTGGAGCTACAGATAACTCTAATGGCAGAGAGTTTGAACACCTGTAACACAATCAAGTAAATTTTTCATCTAATTTGACGATTTGGAGCGTTCAATTAGACCCAGCAGCAAACTGAAACACAGTAAAATGACCGCGCAATGTGATAGTTGACATCATAGCGCTTCCTATATTCCCCAGGGAGCTGAGAATGGCATTGGAGAGTCCACTGATCCATTGACAGTAATAATGATGCAATCTTGTGGTTGGTTGGTTGTTTAACGCTGCACTCAGCAATATTCCAGCTATATGGCGGAGGTCTGTAAATAATCGAGTCTGAACCAGACAACCCAGTGATCAACATCATGAGCATCGATCTGCCTAAATGGGATTCGATGACATGTGTCAACCAAGTCAGCGAGCCTGACCACCCGATCCCATTAGTCGCCTCTTACAAGCATGGGTTGCCGAAGATCAATTCTAACCCCGATTTTCACGGGTCTGTAACCTTGTGAGAACAAGTGTGTAGTATATAGTGCATAATCATATTATTATCTTTTTGTCGTCACAATTATGCATGCATGTCAATATTAATATACAGCTTTTACCAGATACCGTTTTCAGACTCTGTCTGTAGCGCAGAATGTCGACGGAGTAGTTGCTGCGGTCACGGTTGTGCCACATGTACTGCCCCAGCGCCCCCTGGTAAGGAGAGACCTGTAGAAAAGCAATATTTGAAATAGAAACAAACACGGCTTCATGATACTTCCTACATTATCACGGGATAGACGTTAGCCATGCTGAAATAGAGTGTAATTCAAGATCATTTCACACATACGTGCACGCACGTGTGTAAACTGCAGTTGTGACACCGGAACCGATTTACACACAGCCAAGTCTTTGTTTGATTCTTAATAGCAAGAACAAGTAGGGTATAAGTACTACTTTTCACTGTATGATGCAAGAGGGGACCGAGTGAGTGAGTTTAGTTTTACGCCGCTTTTAGCAATATTCCAGCAATATCTCGGCAGTGGACACCGGAAATGGGCTTCACACAATGTGCCCATGTGGGGATTCGAATCCGGGTCGCTCGTGACGAACGAACGCCATAACCACTAGACTACCCCACCGCCCCAGGGCGACCCAGCACCGACCATCCTCTCTGATCAGACACTTTGTCCACTACCCCACAGAGGTGGTTACAGGTATGTAGTATTTATATGTCGTTGTGTAGTCCAAGAAGCTACTGACCGCACCTGTGGTGTGTGGTTAGACCGTCCGCCTGTAGAACGGAAGGTCGCGGGTTCGATTCTCGGCCGCGTCATACCAAAAGACGTTAAAATATGGTACTTGTTGGTCCCTGCCTGGCGCTCGGCATTTATGGGTAAAACAAGGACTGGTCGGCTCGAAGTCAGTATAATGTGTCTGAGTGGGGTATTCATGCTTAACTGCGGCATGGTATCTCAGTGAGCTAGCACTATAAAACCAGCTTAAGTCTGGGCTAGTATAAGCAGCCACACGCAAGCACGTCGTCATATGAGCGAAATATTCTTAAGTACGACGTTAAATCCCATTTCACCTCCCCTCACCTCACTCACCTCACCCACGAAGCTACTCCAGCAGAGACACCAAGAATTGGTGCCACACACTTTAACCCTTTTACGGTTCAAAATCAATATCAGCATTGAGAACGAACGCTTTGGTCACTTAGCTAACAGACCTCGCATAATGATATGCAATATCTTGATTAAGAGCATTATTGACATTCAGTAACAGTCCAAACAATGGAGTCGACAATAATTAACACTCACAAATCATTGTACAAGCTGGACTATGACGTATCAAGGGCTTGAGCGTGTCATTTCCTGTGGAATGACTCGTTGTGGGTCAAGATCAAGGTAACAGAGCTGACCTTAGAAAGAATCTACTTATGTCAGAGAAATGGGAGCATACTTGTTATAAGTCAATATCAAGATCACAAACAGAGTCGACCTTTAAAACCATATTCGGCTGTATAAGGTCACAAGGTCAAGGTTACAGAGCTGACCTTAGAAAGAATCTGTTTATGTCAGAGAAATGGGAGGATACTTGTTATAAGTCAATATCAAGATCACAAACAGGGTCGACCTTTAAAACCATATTCGGCTGTATAAGTCAGTGAAGATGGATGATATATTATATGCATGTCTTCCACCAACCTTTGCCAAAGTGTGATTGAATTCTCGCGCGATCATGACGTCATCAGCTGGGGGTTGCTTCCTGCAGTTCTTTGTGTGAAGGACATGCCGTAGAAGACCCACGACATCCACAGCCAGACCCATCTCAAGTCTCGTCTTGCTGCGCATCCTGGCAATCTCTGAACACCATTGGGTACAGACATTGAAATACAGTAAGCTGTACTTTAATAACTATTGTGCTATGTTGTCCTATATACTAGTACCCAACGTAGATCTACCAAAGGGTATTTGGCCTTATGTTCAGATGGTGATGTCACATGAGGTAGTCGATCTTAGGCGTGTATTTAATGGATAATGTCTCGGACCTTAACATCTAAGAGTTACCGTGGAATTGAAAAATATTTACGTAGTTTCTATAGCTGAGTACTGCATGGGACTACAACCGGAACAAACTTTAGCGTTGTGTGGCCATATAGCATTTAAGTCACCTGTAACTTTTTTCATTTAAACATTTCATGAAAAGAAAGTTTTTGGCCTTCACAACATCCCCCTTCGCTCACGTGACACATTTTCTGGGACCTTCTTCTCCCGTAGTAGTTGCAGTCCAAATATGGTGCCGGGCCATGACTTCTCGTCGTTGATGATGTCTTCAAAATCCTTAAAGACGAATAGTTTCAGTAAGGAACACCGGCCAACGACTGATAACAGTGTAGAGTGAGTTCAAACGAAGCATATGGAAGTGTAAGTTGATTCCAGTTAACACTGAGCAAAGTGCAAAGTACATTCATATCATATAACTGCACCTTAGAATACTGACCCGACAAGATAACCTTAGCGCTAAGACTACGTTAAGTCCATGTTAAGGTATGGGAGTTACGGTGTTTCCCTGTTTGGAAGTCGTGAGAATCACTATGTAAATGTAAGCAGATTTCACGTGCTAAGACTGACTGACTGACTGAGTTTGGTTTTACGCCGCTTTTAGCAATATTCCAGCAACATCACGGCGGAGGACACCAGAAATGGGCTTCACACATTGTACCCATGTGGGATTCGAACCCGGGTCTATGGCGTGACGAGCCAACGCTTTAACCACTAGGCTACCCCACCGCCCCCACGTGCTAAGAGAAATGAGCAAGAAATATCTCCAAATTTCTTGTACAGAAGACATTTCCATATTGATGCATCAGTGACAAACATTAGGCCTGATGCAATCTCTCTGTAACAAGTAATATATACACGCTTTAATAAGTTATAGTTTGTGTTCATTGAATAACAATCATACTCACCGGGTAGTCGACCAACCAGTTGATCGAATGATGCAGAAGATGAAGTCTTTTGGCCTGAAAATATAACAGAGTAGTGACTGTTTTCGTCACTTGAAGCACGGCATCAGTATCTCAGCTTGATGTTCGTTTAAACAAGTTTTCAGGAGATTTTATCGATGCAAAACATATGTTCTGACCCGTGGCCTGACACTGGCTCATGGCAATCTGACCCGTGACCTGACACTGGCTCATGGCAATCTGACAACGGGACCTGACACTGGCTCATGGCAATCTGACAACGGGACCTGACACTGGCTCATGGCAATCTGACAACGGGACCTGACACTGGCTCATGGCAATCTGACAACGGGACCTGACACTGGCTCATGGCAATCTGACAACGGGACCTGACACTGGCTCATGGCAATCTGACCCGTGACCTGACACTGGCTCATGGCAATCTGACAACGGGATTCTCTGTATGGTGTCGTCATATAAGCGAAGTAACAAGACCAGAAGTAAACCCGTTACACACACAGACGTTGAACCATTAAAACGTACACCCACTTATAGACATACCAATGGAGATCCAAGTTAGAATTGGTCTTCAGCAACCCATGCTGTCGTAAGAGGCAACTAACGTGGTCGGGTGGTCAGGCTCGCTGACTTGGTTGACACATGTCATCGAATCCCATTTGCGTAGATCGATGCTCCTGATGTTGATCACTGGATTATCTGGTCCAGAATCGATTATTTACAGACCGCCACCAAATAGGTATAATATTTCGGCGTTTTGTTTTTTTTGTTTTGTTGGGTTTTGTGCTTGCTGTGTAAACAAACAACACAGCTAACACAAATGAACTCACAGCTCTCATAACATGTGTGACGGTGTCTCGCTTCGACGAATGAAGGATGATACGATCCTTCTGAGACGCCCGGAGTCCCATCAGGTTGTGCACGAGCTCCGCATCCTCATCCGAAGCGATCCGAGAGGGAAGCCGGATCGGGGACACATCAATACCGTGAATCCCCAGTGTCAACACTGTGGAAAAGTCGTCTGAAAGACACAACATCTTGCACTGTTAAACAGCTTGCACACTCAACTGTCGCAATGTTTGTGCATACGACATGGCTTTACTGATCAGTTGGATACACAACACTTCATTCAATTAAAAAAAAACGATCCATAATTTTCAGGAAAAGTCTAACGGCTGTCAACTATACATACCTTCATTCTCTTGTGCCTACATTTCAGTTTGTATATTTAAGTAACTGTTTAATTTTAACATTCAACGACTGACATAATTTGTAAACAAATGTGTACCAGAGGGCTCGAACCCGCAACGTGTAATTAGTAAATTTTTGACAGGCAACCTCGGCTTCTGTGGCACATGTCAAAGATCTGTGTGGAGTTAACCACTGAATATGATCAAATATTTGCACAACTCTTGAAAGTTAACAACTTGGTGCTGCCAATAACAACACTGAACAAATAAGATTAATCCTTCAATCAGTTTGCTTCGGCAAAGTACTTGAAGTATGACATCAGTCTGTGAACACATTTTCGTGCACTTTGACACTCTTCTTACTATCATGACTGCCAAAAAACATGAAGTATGACATTAGTTACGAACACCTTTTCGAGCTCCTTGAAAACCTTCTCTCCAACATGATTGTGGAACAACACAAAGTATGCGACATCAGCCTAAAAACTAGGGCTGCGCAATATAACCGGTTTACCGGTATTTACCGGTTCAGACATGAAAACGATACGTATTGCGATACGCTGATCGAAAACTGGTATTTTGACTTGCATTCGGAAATCGTCGTAACACTCGGAAATCTTCGGATATTTCCTTGTTTCATTTGTGCCAAATATTATTCACTTTTTTATTTGATCATGAGTAAAAGTTGTTATTAAAGCTTAATCAAGCATAGTGATTTTGTTGAGTTTTACTATATAAATCAAGCATTAACTCGATTATAAGTAGTTTTTTGTTTAAAAATATTTCATGCAATATATTGCAATACATATCGCAATACATGCTTTCGCATCGCAATATATCGCAATATGAATATTTGCTGCAATACCCACCCCTACTAAAAACCCAACGTGACTGGCAAAAGTTTAACACATGCCAGTTTGGACAGTTACTGGATGAACTGCGAAAGGCCAATAGGTAAACGATGTCGCTTTACAGATATTTACTTTTGAGGTATCCGCTCTTAATCACGATATTTAAATGTATGGGGATTTTTTTTAAAATAACAAACAACTAGCATTTATACCCGCATTTGTGTGGTGAGAAAACATGTTGAGAAGTTGAAAATGTTTGAAATAGTTTGTGTTAACAGAATGTTCTACCCACTACCGACCACTAACACAAACACTATGGACCTATGGCTGACAACTGAAATATACTCAGAGGTAAAAGTTATTGTAACATGGAATATTCACTTAAAAGGCCAGACAAGCACACGTTCATAATTTCCACTGATGGCATTCTTAAGAAGAGTAGAATTATAAAACCGTCTCCATATATCGTTCTGGAACAAACTGGACATGCCACGTCTCTGGGACAATGCCAGATGGAGCGCTATAGGCATGCTTTCGTCTGGTACTTCACAGCGTGACGCTGCTCTTCGATTCAACATCAATAGGAATACCATTTGGCTCATCTCGTGTTGTGGCTCGTTTGCATATGCAAATATGGTCTATTGGACAATTCGTTCGCGACAGTAAAAGTTTAACACTGATTCTTTTGTTTGTGCGTCACTTAAAACTTTTGCCTTCTAGTATATAAGGATATTATAATATAACGTTTCACGATAGCAAATCTACCTTTAATACGTGTTGAATGCAGGAAGGGACCAACACTAGGCTCTATTTGTGTTAATTTACTACTGATATTACTGCTTCAGCATCTAATCAAATACTGATAACAGACACAGGGACTCTCTCCATAATGTTATTCCACATGGCAAATAGCAGACCTGTCTCTAGAGAAATGTCTGTTATCAAACGGCAATACCTAAACCAATACCGAGGCGCCAACGGGATGAGCATTAAGCCATGGTTCCATTGTCACATATGATTCAGTAAACCAAAACCTCTTTAATGTATTATTATGATTGTTCTTTTTACCAATATCAACTTATGTTTTTGTTTCTAAACAGCCTTTTCAATCTTTGGCGTGAATTCTATGGATGTTTAGATATTACAACTGGCACAATGATAATTGCACAAATGTTCTCCGTTGAGCAACAACATACAAGGGTCCTCGGACGTCAGTTTGACAATAACAATAGCGTAACATTTAATGATCAAAGCTGCTGACTAACTCAGTTGAACCTTTAGGACAGAACGGATTGATATCAATAATCCCTACAATCCACAGTTTGCAGACTGTATCAATGATTGTTTGTGTAATCGAACAGAACTGTTTTGCTAAGTAATTAAAAACGAAGTTATAATGACGATTCATTGGAAAGCATAACATGAAAAAAGCTGAGAATTCTCTGAAAAAATATAATGCTCTGATTTTCGAAATATCACCAGGTGTGTTAATGCCATTGCACTTCGATATCAGCAAGCACTTAACACTGTAGAAAGCGAACACCTATTTCTATAAAACATATGACACTGAAAATCATATGACAGGTGTCCCTGGCAAATCGTTGTCAACAAGCACTCGCTGTAAATAAACCTATAAAACAGTCTCAAATTCTGTCACTGACAAACCAGGCTGTTCACAAGACATCTCCTCCAACCTATAACTTTAGCATCTGTCTGCCAGCCTATGCTCTGCTGATCAGTTCTTCTTTTGTGTTCCTTCATATACGTTGAAATCATTTGGTGCCAGAACGTTTCAGTATGCGGCAGCTGTACTTTGGAACTCTCTTCCCTAGGATCTGAGATGCTCTCCCTCACTTGGTGTTTCTAAAGCTCATCTCAAGACCCATCTCTTTCGGAGATATTAAAATTGAGGTGTGGAGATCAGAGATACACAAATGTCCTGATATTGTTATCATAAGCCATATTTAGAATATAACGCATTGGAAATTCAAGCACTTCCTGAAAATAAATCTAAAATGTATTTTGACAATTTAATGCATTGAAATTACAATAACGACAGGTGTTACAAGAGCGTGACCCACGGTGTCACAAAGCACTAACCTTGGGACAGAAGGGCGACGTTGTTCCATTTCAACCGTTTGGCAATGGTCGCCACAGCAACGGATAGACTGTGTTGTTCCGGAAGTATCGAGACTACACTCTCGGAATCTTTCGCCCTCTGACCGGCTGATGACGTCAGTATGTGACGTTGATTAATGATGACATACTTCGAGGTGAACATGTCTATATAAGGACCGATTGTCACGGTGGTGAACTGGTTGTCAGAATTTCTTCTGGCTAAAACACAATAGCATCAGCAGAGGTGAAACGACAGAATGAGGTTATCAAATAGTTTTCTGAAAATTGTTCCTCCCAATGCAAGATGAGTTCATGATGTATGGTTTGAAGATGCAGGTGTTGGGAATATGGATTTAAATGGATACACCGGGAATGTATCACCATCATTGCACGTGATAGAATCAGACTGGTCAGTTGAGATCCTCTGAAGTGGTCGTCAGTTCAGCCTGTACAGCGAAAAGGCTAGGAAAGTGGCAAAAACCTTCTCGATTTTTGAGGGAATCAATTTCAGTGGAGAATGTTTTCATGAATTACATGACTTGTTTGATAGTTCGGCTTTGCCTCCAAAATGGCATGAGCAAGTAATTAAAGACTATTTAGATTGTTCTTTTCACCAATATCGACTATTTCTATTTTGGTGAAAGCTTCACGATCGTAGGTCTGGCAAAATAAGTAATGTTTGCGAACTGTTGACAATATATTCGGCTGTAGGGGGCCATGAACATAATTATCGCCTCATGTGACTATTTGGAGAATGTTTTTCGCTAGAATCAAATTTGTTAAATTTGTTGTATGTTTCACGAACAAGGTGCACGGGATATAGTTGATATTTCGTGTACTACTGGAGAACCGGTTCAAAAGTCCGTTCACACACTAATGACACGTGTAAACAGCTGAACACTCTCTCAGAGCTAGAAGTAACTTAATCAGGCAGTATACCTGAGCCTCGCAACGTACCGGCAGTTAGACTGTTGTAAATAGTGCTACCGTTGGTGGTGTCGTACGACACCTTCTTGAAGTTGATGGTGCAGAAGTCATCCCCGTCTAGGAGTACGTCAGCGATATCTCTGTACATCTGGGCGTCCTCGGAGGCTGGGTACCCCATCACACCTACACAGACACCAGTGTGTCAGTAATTGCCTCTTACTAAATGTGACTAGTGGTTAAAGCGCTCGCTCGTCACGCCGAAGACCCGGGTTCTATTCCCCACATGGGTACAATATGTGAAGCCCGTTTCTGGTGTCCCCGTCGTGATATTGCTGGAATGTTGCTAAAAGCGGCGTAAAACCAAACTCAGTCACTCTGACTAAATGTTTCCTATAACCACCAACATAAACTATTCTTGTTATAACCTCTTCTCTACAAACAGTGTACACACCTTCTTTGAGAGACATTTAGACGTCGGTGCTATAAGGAAGGATAGCAATACACGGATGGACAACTGTTGCTTGGTGTTGTTAGAACCTACTTCTCTTGTTTGATAACGGTGTAAGAACCTACACTGAAACATCGCTCTAACTGTAATAAATAAGTTGTTCATCCATATATTGTTATCTTCCTTGAACAGTGTACACACTGTAATCTAAGTCCCAGCAGAGTAGAAAGCTGCATGTATACTGAACATGGCCATCAGTCGTCCAGGGTGGTTGCTTGTTTAACACCGAACTCCGCAATTTTCCAGCCATTTGGCGGTGGTCTGTAAATAATCGGGTCTGGACCAGACAATCCAGAGATCAACAGCATGAGCATCGATCTACGAAATTCGGATACGATGACATGTGTCAGCCAAGTCGACGAACCTGACCACCCGATCCCGTTAGTCGCCTTTTACGGCAAGCATGGGTTACTGAAGGTCAGTTCTAACCCGGATCTGCACGGGTTTCGTCCAGGAATGGTAGATATGGGTAATAGTCAACCACTGTGAGGTTTACTGGGATATAGGTAATTCCCCACTGCATAATGAACATGACATATATCAAAGTGCATCACTTCCCATGGTAGCATGATGCCATATAAACTATATACATACTTGCGTTTATCATGTATTTAAATCCAGACGTCTCCTGTATCAACACACCAAGAATCACAGTAGCAGGAACCCATGCTTGGAGTGCCATTCTCTTCAGCTTTTCTCGATAGAGTCTGAAAATGAGGTGAATTGTAACAAACAAGATATGAATGTTAGATATTAAAATGTCTAAAAGGCATGATTTAATGCTTTTCAAAGATAATTCTTTGAAAATAAATCAATTTGAATTTATCGGCAAATATGTATGTTTCAGACATTTTAGATGTCATATTTGGCTGTAAATTCATTTCTTAATTCAGCATTTATTGAATTTTATTAGAAACTGCCGCAGGCTTGAGTGATGGTTAAAATACTTAATAAAGTTGAAAAACAGTTCTTTGTTCAATTACATTAAATCAACCGGTGTACTATATTTTTACCTTTAATTAAGTACTGTGGCCTCGGCTTTTAGTTAGGTTGGTCTCGTTGTCATGGAAACCGTTTTCTCACCTCTATTTACAGCATACAATGTGTTTCTAAATTTTTCGTTGATGATCATTAATTTCTTTAAATTTGAAACTAAATCAAACTGAAAATATATAACCTCAACTTGATACATAACAAAACATATTTAGAATACAAAATAGGCACTTGTTGCGATCCACTTTATGGCGATTAACAGAACACAATCCTCATGGCCCAGGGGTTGGGAATGCGCCCTAGAATATGGTCAGCGTTATATTCATTTCTTTACACATCATTCCCTGCCACGCGTAAATCAAACAGAAGAGAAATTCGGTCGATAATGATCACTTGAAATACATTTATTGTTTACCGTATCTCGGATGTGTAGAGGGTATCCTCTACGACCTTCTTGCATTGAAGACCAAAGGTGGTGAGAACTCAAGTTTTTATTTATTTCTTGATAAATAATTTCCTTACCAAATCGTAAACAATTTAGGTAGGCCAGGTTAATTGAACAGTTATACTGACGTACTCAGCCTTAAAAGATGGGTTCGGGTTTGGTTATTTGGGTTTGGGATTTGGGGATGTTCTACAGGCCATCTGTATTGACGCCATGCCATGGGATCTGACCCGGTCATGCTGACCTCGAGTGAACGATATATTTTTGTTTGTCAAGGGGGAAACATGCCCAGGAGGTAAATGTTCCATTGCTACAGCCAAATATTTAATGTTCCAGGAAATACAAGCCTTGTGCTAATACAGTCTGGTGCAAATATAACCTTTCTAATCCTATGATCATAAGAGATCGCAGCTAAAAGCCGGGTCCATTGTATGATTAAGGCCTTGTGTTCACTTTCAAATAATGATGATGATACCTGGTGTTCGCGAAAAGGCGACCGTATCCTTTATAATGTTCATAATAACCTTTCTTGTAGTTTGCCATCCTAGTATATGTATGTGCAATAACATCCGACAAACCCGTTTCCACATCTTTAGTCCATTGTAGGATTCAGACTATATCAGGAGCATGTGTTTATGAATCGCTATCATGATACCAGGTGTTCAAGAAAAGGTTGCATCGTGACACCAGGTGTTCAAGAAGGTGCATATGGTACCAGGTGTTCAAGAAAAAGGTGTGCATAATGATACCAGGTGTTCAAGAAAGGTGTGCATCATGATACAGGTGTTCAAGAAAAGGTGTGCGGCATGGTACCGGGTGTTCAAGAAAAGGTGTGCATCATGATACCAGGTGTTCAAGAAAAGGTGTGCGCCATGATACCAGGTTTCAAGAAAAGGTGTGCATCATGATACCAGGTGTTCAAGAAAAGGTGTGCATCATGATACAGGTGTTCCAGAAAAGGTGTGCATCATGATACCAGGTGTTCAAAAAACGATGTGCATCATGATACCAAGTGTTCAAGAAAAGGTGTGCGTATCCTCACCTAAACGTTAACATCCGTCACCGACATGTTAATGAAGCCCATCAATACAACTGTATTGGACATCATCGTGGGCAATAATGCGTCAGGTTTGGTGAAGTCCTCCACTTTAACAATCATAAAGCTTTATGAAACCGTCACCGAGGCCTTGAATTTTGAAACCATGTTGAAACAACTTTTAAGTAAGAGTTGTAAATAAAAGAGACGAACCCTTTTCTGCATAATGAAATATAATGGTCTGCTTTACTAGAGTAAGCGTGCGTCTGACGAATAGCAAAACATACTGTAATGAAAATCATGGAAAATAACCATGCACTGTCCCCTTTCCAATCCCCAAAGTCTCATTCATTATGTTCAGACTGGTTTGAGCTATCTATATCCTCATTCGTTTGCTTGCTTGTTGTTTAAAGCAACACTCAGCAATAGTTCAGCTATATATGGCGGTTGTCTGTACCAGACAATCCAGTGATCAACAGCATGGCCGTCGTTCTACGCAATTGGCACACGAAGACGTGTTAACCAAGTCAGTGAGTCTGACCACCCGATCTCGTTAGACGCCTCTTTCGACAAGCATGGGTTGCTGAAGACCAACTCTAACTGGGATCTTCACATTTGCATTCTACAGGTGCAACAATCAGTGTGAGAGGTACATATTTCGTAGAAAAAAACACACGAAAAAATGATATAATTTAGATATCAGAGAAATAAAGCTTGCAACTATTGTCACTATGAAAATCAAAAAGGGAAGGAAACAGTCAGACCACAGCGATCTACAACGAGTTACAAGCTCTGGAGCAGGCAAACCCTTAGTGACAGGGTGAGTATACAATGCAGAGTCGATGGTGCACTTTATGACAAAACTGTATTTTGTTACTTAACAACAAATATTCCTTGAAAGTGTTTTGCATTCCTATCTTTGTTTTTGGCACTCATAGAATGATAGTGAATTATTAAGCCCCAAAAACCCTAAACGAGGCAAGGAAATGAGGTAGCCTAGTGGATAAAGTGCTCGCTCGTTTAAAGTTTTTGACCGTTTGTGAATAAATTAAAGTTGAGTTTATCCTGCCTTACTAGTCACAAACACATATCGTACCAGCCAATTTTTGGATCCCCGTCAATTTCGTGCTGTTATATTCATAAAACAAACAAAACAATACTCGTTCAATTTACAGAGTAATCAAAATTTTATGAAATTGACAACTGAGATGTTTTACAAACACACACTTACCTTACCGCGTCAGTGCAGGAAGTAGAAAGTAATCTCGTCCAACCACGCCCCCGAGACACGTGACCTGTAGCAGCTGATAGCGCTGACGATCTGTCATCAAGTTAGCAGGAGAAATGATCAATTATCAATATTGACTTCGCGAGATCAATCGCAAAGAGAATCACCTCTCGTCACAGCACTCACAATAGGAACCCACAATCAGCTGATAATTGTTTTTCGAGGGAGGACAATTCTCAAGCACCGCTGGGAATTAAGTATCAATGTGCTAACGCCACACGAGTGCAGCCTATTATCTCTTGATGGCCCTGATCAATACATTATAAAACTGAAGCCGAGAACGTCATAAACACATCTTCCGTTGCCAAGTAAGAGATGACTACACCGGTTTTGTACATGAACCTGGGGTTATTCTGTGGAGATTGTTGCGGATCCCAAGGCCGCAACAAATTTATTACATGTTCTTTGGACTTCAAGACCCGTTTTCGTCATACTTCTGAAGACCTGGTGGTTTTCATGTAAAGCGTTTAGCTATGTCTACCATTGCAGCACAGTTCTCCATAAGCATTTAGCTATGTCTACCAGGTTAACTGGACTCTTAACTAAGGAAGAACATGTTGACAGCTGAGAGTTGTCTTCTGGTTTACGCTGAAGCACAAGTTGCAGAACACAGGTTGTCTCCATAAGCAAATGTGTTCGTTCACAATCAACATCTGTTCATTGAGCAGTAAACACAAGTTGCAGAACACAGGTTGTCTCCATAAGCAAATGTGTTCGTTCACAATCAACCTCTGTTCATTGAGCAGTAAACACAAGTTGTCTCCATAAGCAAATGTGTTCGTTCACAATCAACCTCTGTTCATTGAGCAGTAAACACAGGTTGTCTCCAGTTGTCTCCATAAGCAAATGTGTTCTCCATAAGCAAATCGTTCACAATCAACCTCTGTTCACTGAGCAGTAAACAC